AAACACAACCATTGATGTCATAGACTGAATAAAACATGAACATAGTCCCATTAGTTTCTAAAGAGAAGCCGAACGATGACCATATGAAATGCTTTCTCGACCTAACTTTTTATCGATCTAAAAAAAAAACGGGGCAAAGAGGTGACGCGGAGGCGGGCCTTAAGCCTCCTGATGCACAGCAACAACACTCCCAGCTGTCGGTCGAATAGGTCAGGACCCTTTTTATGTAAAATGCGGAGCCTTAGCATAACCAAAACAGATGAGTTATAAAACAAAAATGCAACCATTGTACAGTTCTAACAAAAAAAGAAGAGATATATGAACCAAATGGGTTTTTTTGGGGGTTTTTTTAATAGCTCTGTAAAAATTATTATTTCTTCTGTAAATTACATTTTGACATTGGTCTTAATGGGGGTTCATTGGCTTTTGGAGCCGGCCTCAAGTGGACAATCAAGGAACTTCAACTTATTGCCCCCCCGGTGTTAGCTTCAGCCATAGCCGCTTGGTTCTCCAAAAAAGAAAATACTGTAACCATAGCTGGATATAAAACAACATCAGGAGGGATCTGTTTGGGGGTTGTAACTGTTTGAGAAAAATTAAAATGCAAAGATATAATAAAATAAACTTTATACATTTTACAATACAATTTAAATGCTGATTCATACAGATACAAAAATAAGGACAGGAGACATCTCCAAAGATAAATTCCAAATTAAAAGTTTGATTAAAAAAAAAAAAAAAACTTCCAACATAACAAAAACAACTTGAAAATATATATTTTTTTATATAAATTGATAATTTAAATTTTAAGTTTTTAGGAACAGTCTTCATTTATTTTTATATATTTTTCAGGTTATCTCCGTGGATATGTTATCTATGAGCCCATGTTTAATTTGAAGTTTTATGGATTGTGAGAACTAGCAGAGACAATACTGTGGTGTTGTTTAACTGTGAACTGTCCGTCTTTGTGATCTTCAGGGGCATGAAGGTGATTGAGAACCGAGCCATGAAAGACGAGGAGAAGATGGAGCTCCAGGAGCTGCAGCTCAAAGAAGCCAAACACATCGCAGAGGAGGCCGACCGCAAATACGAGGAGGTACATCCACTGGAGAGATCTCATTAGAGCTGACGTAGAGTTCACACATGGATCTGGTATCATTCTGTATTTGCTCACCTGTGTTGGTTTATTTTTATACTCCAGTCTGCCCGTAAACTGGTGATCCTGGAGGGTGAGCTGGAGAGAACAGAAGAGAGGGCAGAAATTGCAGAGCTGTAAGCAGAAATTCACTGAATCTCTCAAGACACCTACACCTTTAAAAAATAAGTTTTCAGTCACATTTATATGAATTTCTGTCTTTGTACAGTAAGTGTGGAGACCTGGAAGAAGAGCTGAAGAACGTCACCAACAACCTGAAGTCTCTAGAGGCTCAGTCTGACAAGGTGAGTGGTGTCAATCTGTCCTGTAGATTTAAAGGAAAGCATCCAATATGCTTCAAACACCAAAACAATGATCGTATTTTCTTAGAAAGATACATTTCAGCACAGATAATCTAGCCTAAGCGGTTATGTTGCATGCCCCTTGTACAGAGGCTTAAGACCTCATCACACCCGCCATCCCACCGGTTCTCGTATTGAGCATTAAAAGCCTGGAAAAAAACTCATTTTCAGAAAGAAAAATGTGTTTGTTTTTTTTCATTGAAATGATTGTCTCTGTCTGTTTCTCTCTAGTATTCTACAAAAGAGGATCAATACGAGAATGAGATCAAAGTCCTGAGTGACAGACTTAAGGAGGTACGTCCATGTCTGTCTAAGCGTTTTCCTCTAGTGGGAGCCGTGACTGGATGATCAATATGTTTCATTGTGTGTCTTTGTCTAAAGGCTGAAACCCGTGCAGAGTTTTCAGAAAGATCAGTTGCCAAGCTGGAAAAGACCATAGATGACTTAGAAGGTACGTTTTAATAATCATCCTTCTTTTCAAGTCTTTCTTTGATTCACTTTGTTTGGAACTTTCCCGCTCCGTATTTCTCATTCTTAATCTACGATCTCTTTGTTTCTTCCTTTCCTCTTCGGTCTGCAATTCCCTCTGCACCTCTTCCACCTGCTCTCCCTGTCTCTGACCTCTGACCTCTGACCTGCAGACGAACTGTACACTCAGAAGCTCAAGTACAAGGCTATCAGCGAGGAGCTGGATCATGCCCTCAATGACATGAACACCTTGTAAACCTTGCGTTCAGCTCGTGATGTTTTCACTTTCTCTTTGCCTCCTCTTGTATGATCAGAGGCACTTTGTCTCTTGTTTTCCCCCTTTGCTTTGAAGTTCTCCTTCCTCCTTTTGCTTTAGTTCAATAAAGTTCTCTTTTACCCCGTCTTCTTCTATTTCTTTAACGTCTTGAGTGTTCCACAAACTACATGTTATCTGCTCAACCACTGTAGTGCTAATCAATCTGTTCACTGATATAGGCATTTTCTTTACCTGCTCTTACCTTTTTTTTATTGCAGATAATGTAGCTGTTGAGAAAGCGGAAAAGGCAACAATTCAAGAATCCCTGAACCAAACAATGGCAGAGCTGGTGTGCTTGTAATATGCCAAGAAGAACGTCAACCAATAAATGAAAAAACAACCCCCCTTTTTTCTTTTGTTTAAAGATATTTTCTACATGCCACCCATTGTCTGTAATTTCACTCTTTATCCTGGTAGCTAAAACACGTTTCCCTTTTTATATATTTATGGTTCTTTTGTTTCCTTGCCTTTTTTTTTTTTTTTTTTTAAATGGTTTTCGGGTCCATATGATATTCAGTATCGGTGCTGGAAATTGTGTTTTTAGACCAAACCCTTACCACAAATAAAAGTGACAAAGATGCTGATGATGAAGTGAGTTGGATGAGTAATGTTGGCTGTCTGTCTACTCTGTTTATATATGTGTTTGTGGGTGTGTGTCTTTCAGGCTGTTTCAACACACAGCCATAAACCGCAAGCAGCAGAGAGAGCTCAACCATCAATTTACAACTGCTAACATGCTCACTGCTTTTTGTTCTGCCTTACACAGTAAATTCCTCAAACAGGAAACTAGAGCACCGCTGCTCCCACAACAACAACTGAGTCTGACATGAGAACTATTTGTCACTATTTACTAAGGTGATCAAACAATACACCGGTATATGCAAGACATAATACTGACCTTGTTTTTAATTATAATAATGACATCACTCACCTGGTGTTTGACTTAGTTTAGTTACTTTAAATACCCAAAACTTATGTATTTCCTTTTTTTTTTTTTTAGTGAAACTAAATAATAAACAAGTGAACAGCCTCCGAAGAGTATTTGAAAACAGCAATCCAATCGAATTTGTACTGTCTTATTACAGGAAATGCAACAATGTTCAGTGTTTATATATTGGTGAAATAAACAAGTATTATCAGGAAAATATAATCATATCAAAAGTATTTGTAGGCTTGTTAAAAATGCTTTATATTCAAGGATGCTTTGTAAAGGAAATCTTATTTTACTTAGTATTTACTATAACTGAATAATACATGTAGTGGAGTAAAACACAATTTATTGCACTTAAAGTTGTATCAGTTCAAAGCATTTGTAGTTTGGGTCAAAATCATCGGTGGAAAGCAATTACACTAACTTTTCTTTAAATGACTAAGTCCTACATACTTAACGGATTATTTACAATTTACACATCAACATCTCAGAGGAAACTAACAAACTTTTTGGACACTTTCTGACAGCTTTACTTACTGTTCAGATGAAAGTTTCTCATACCTTTCCTGTTAAGTGAAGATAGTATTTGGCAATGTAAAAAAATATGTTTCACACATGATAGAGCAGAGGTTCTCAACTGGTGGTTCAGGACACAAAACTGGGTCACAGAGCCATTTTCAGTGGGTCGTCAATGTGTGCCCGGAAAAAGAAAGTCTATGATGCGCTTTTAAAAACGTGTTTGTTTTGTTCTGTCTCTCTGATGTGTCACTTTTTGTTCAATCTGAGATCCAAATTGCATAACTTTTCATAAAATAAATCTGAGTAGTAGAGCATTATCAGAAATTTGGGTCACAGTTTGTCGTTAAGGAAGTGGTGGTGGGTCCTGAGGTTAGACGGATGTAGGGTCTAACCTCAGGCCTGTCTTTGTACAAACAAAAATGAACGCATACCTTTACTTATGTACTTATATTAAAATGTTGATAATATCAAATACCTTCTGTAGAACTGATGTTAAGTGACAAATGTTAAATGTTGACCACAATATTTCTAAGTGCCTTTTATTTGATATTTGCCTTTTCTTAAAGCGCAATCACACAGCATGCTTAGTAGGGCTGGGTGATATGGACCAAAACTCATATCTTGATATTGTTTAGCTGAGTGGCGATACTCGATATATATATCGATATGTATTTTATTAACAGTGAAAACACATGGAAAAATAAACTACCTGTTTGTGAATTTAAAAAGTAATATAATAAAATAAAACTGTTCCTTAAATACAATAAAAGAGAGAGAGAGAGGAGGAGCAGGGTTAAGAGGGACAGACAGTCAGTCATCATCAGTGAGATGAGAAAAAAGGTGAACTGGCACCTCTGTTACGTTATTTAAATGCAACATAAACTATATCCATATTAATGATATTGTCTTACCCTATATCTTGTTTGAAAATATATCCATATATCTTAAAAATTAAACATATTTCCCCGCCCTAACGCTTGGCCAGTGGTTCTGCTTCTTTGCCTTAAGTTTCCCAATTAAAGTGATTTCAATAAAGAGAGTGAAATGGGGGGGAAAAGACCTTCAGTAGAAAATTTGAAAGCTTGACCTACTTAAGTATTTAAAATGATCGTGGGTCAATTAGATGACTTTTACTTTTAAAAAAAAAAGGGTCACACAGCAGCTGCTGCAGGTAGCTCCTTCAAAACATGTCATGAGGCTGCAGTTCACGCCCAGTGGGCCCCGTGACGTGTAACCCTGCAGGTGTATTCCGGGCCAGCAGGGGGCGTCCTGTCGACGCTTTAACAGCGCTGCTTCGCCGGGCGGGATTTCCGCAATAATATCAAGTATGGCGAAGACATACGACTATTTGTTTAAATTACTGTTAATCGGCGACTCTGGTGTCGGGAAGACCTGTGTCCTGTTCAGGTTTTCAGAAGACGCCTTCAATTCAACGTTTATCTCAACTATAGGTACAGTTTTGCTCCTTGTGAATCTTTTATGTTTCTGTGTGTTTACAGTGCGCGAAGGCTCCGTCTACTTACTGGAATGCTAGTGGTGCTACTTTGATAGCTGGAAGTGTTTTCTCTTTGCCTTGTTATCCTCAGAGCTAAACTGATAAATATGTATGTTTAATAAGCGGCGATAAAGGAAGACTTACTTCTGGGAATGTGTTGCTTAAGCTTAACATATTAGTTTGAAGTGTTTGGGGTTGATTGTTCAGCTGATGCCGGGTTGTCTACCCTGTTATATCAGACGTGAGGCCCCGTCTACATGCTGGCATCACACCGGAAAACTTGCGATTTTTAACGCGCCATTCACGACTAAATACAAGCAATAAATAAATGTTGTTGTTGTTTTCTGTACATGTTACTTCAATATGCCATGGCGTGAAGCCGAGTCGTTATTGCGTGTCTTTAACTAACAAGCTAAGGATGTAATTAACATGCATGATTCCTGTCTGTGTCCTTTAAGGCATTGACTTCAAGATCAGGACAATAGAGCTCGACGGCAAGAAGATAAAGTTGCAGATATGGTAAGTTTAAATTAAAAACCCCTTTATTTAATACGTGTGTTTTATTAATGTTGAGCTTTTATGTATGTATGGATGACACACACTTGCCCACAAGTCTTTAAAACACTTTGCAGAATGCATCCCTCTCTATGTTTCTGTCCTGGGACGACAACGTTACAGGTTTTATGGCCTTTGACCTTTGCATCAAATCTTCATAACCTCTCAGCAACACCAAATTCTTTGAGTTCATTAAAGTCTCTGGAACAGTCTTACAAAAAAACACTCAAATTTCAGGAACTCATCACTATTACTGATTTTAAAACTCGGCTCACAAGTTGTTGTTTTTTTTTTAATGGCTAATTTAGGAGTGTGTAAATGTTTCACTGCATAGTATTTTATCATCGTCACATAATTGTTATTTTAGTGTTTATCGTGGTGTTGTGTTTTGTTTTTGTTTAACATGATCTTGTCCTCCTTCTCTTCCTCCTCCTCCTTCTTCTTCACCTTCTGGACTGCATTTGTCTCTTTTTCTCATGTCTGTGCTTTCTTTCTTTCTTTCTTTCTGGGTTTGTCTTATATTTCTTTTTTTACTGCTGCCATTTTGGCCAGGCCTTGCTCGAAAAAGAGGTCATTTGATCTCAAGCAATTCTTGCCTGGTAAATTAAAGGTTAAATTAAAAAAAAAAAAGAGGATGGTTAAGAACAATTTACAGACAAATAGCTGTGCAGTTATAGAAAACATAAAGGGTCTGCAGTAAATGTCTGCAGCAAAAAATTAGATATTCTTGATACCTTCTCTTCCTTCAATATCTTAAGTTTTTTTTTTATATCTTATTCCTCAATATACAGTCTGTAAAGAGGGATCTGTAGTTACATTTATTTTCATCAGCATTTAGTGAGACAGTTCTATGGAAGCGAATAGAACAGAATTACTTTATTGATCCCAAACTGGGAAATTGTGGCGTTACAGCAGCAGGTTATCCAACACACAATATGAGTAAAAAACACAATGTTAGCAAATCTAAACACAATATAATATTAAATACAAAGTAAATAAGTACTAAAAATATCAAAACTAAGAATGAAGAATATATACAACCAGGATTTAACTAAGCATTACTAGTCTTAAATAGGAAGATTAAATATAGAAGATTGAATGTAAATGTGCAAAAACAGAGTCGTAAATGGACAGTATTGACATAAGTTAAAGTGCATGAGTGTAGTCATATTATCAGCAGAAACTGTTCAATATAACGGCGAGTAGACAGCCAAATTAAGTGAACATGAGTGCAGTTATAATTTGTAAATTTAACATGTGCAGAACAGATTACAGTATGGAGAGACAGATATTATCATGATGACAGTTCTCTGCTCACATGAGGTGAGCTGTTGTACAGAGTTATGGCCTTTCGGTAGGAAAGATTTCCTGTATCTGTCCTTGTGACAGCGAAGTTGTATCAGATTAGTGATCAGAATTCAAATGATAAAGCTAATTTGAAAATTAAAATCCATTAACAGAAATGTAATTTTCAGAATATGGGTGTATTATTTGACTCAAAAATAAAATGACTTATTTATCTAATTTGAATTTTAGTTTTCAACTTAAAAAATGCACATTCTTTGACTAAATTAAAGTGCCCCGCTAAATTTATATCATAATTCAAATGAAAAAGCTCATTTTAAAATGAAAATACAGTAACAGAAACACGTTTTAATTTTCAGAATATGGGTGCATTATTTGACCTATATTTAAAATGAATATTCAGTCATCCGTTTGCATTATACTTTTACTCTCTATGTATGCATATTGTATGACATCATTCAAATGAAATCGAAAAGGTCTTTGGCTTTTCGTTTTCAAACTTGCCGTGCTAAAAAGTGATCATAATTCAAACCAACTCGAAAACAATATGGCAAAGTGGACGACGCAGGAAAGTGCTTTTTGTTCAACAGGTGTTCTACACCTCCAAAGCAGAGGGCCAAAGAGCACAAATATCAGGACGCTTTACTTCAGTGTTAATTTACAGTCAATTCTGGTGTTTTTCAGGGATACTGCTGGCCAGGAGCGCTTCCGAACAATCACAACCGCCTACTACAGAGGAGCAATGGTGGGTGTGATCAAAACAAATCTCCCTTTTCTTGGACGCTACATGCTCTTGGTTCCATCCATAACACTTTTATTTCTTTTTTCTTTTACAGGGCATCATGCTTGTGTACGACATCACCAACGAGAAGTCTTTTGAGAATATCAAGAACTGGATAAGAAACATAGAGGAGGTGTGTAACAGCTTAAATAGGCTATCATTAACTTGTGTTCAAGCTTATGATAAACAGCCAATAGCACCATAGCAGATGTGTTCTTTTATTAAATTGTTGTTTTCTTTATCCAGCATGCATCATCTGATGTTGAGAAGATGGTCCTTGGCAACAAGTGTGACATCAATGACAAGCGGCAGGTGTCCAAAGACAGAGGGGAGAAGGTGGGAAGTTGTTGTTTTTATAATCAAATATAATACAAGTATGAATATAACTCGTGTTAACAGACTTTAACTTGATGTCATTTTCTTTTAGCTTGCATTGGAGTACGGGATAAAGTTCATGGAGACCAGTGCAAAGGCCAACATCAACGTTGAGAATGTAAGAGCCATTCGAGCTGGAGTTAGGAGATGATTCAAACATTGTGTGGCATCTGTGTAACTATTTTTTTTTTTTCATTCACAGTCATTTCTGACACTTGCAAGAGACATCAAATCCAAAATGGACACAAAATTGGTAAGAAGACATCTTTGGTTATCTAACATTTAGCAGCTTGAGTAACTAATAAAATGTCATAATTCATTTTCATACATTAAATTTCTTACTTTTTTAAGTATGAAACTTCTCATTACCACAGCAGCTGGCTTCTGCATGTGACAAAGTACATTACAATTCTGTGGATAGGATTCTTCCACCATATGAGAACAGGCAGTTAGGTGTTTTTTGTACCTGACATATCGGTGACCTTTTTAATGTTTCACGTTTGCAGGAGGGCAACACGCCGCAGGGGACCAGTCACGGAGTCAAGATCTCAGAGCCTCAGAAAAAGACCAGCTTCTTCCGCTGTAGCTTACTCTGAGGACTGAGGCTTTCAACAACTGGCTGGACATAAATGGACTGTGCTTGCTGTTAGCACTTCCTTCCCCCTTCCCTCTTTTGACCGATCTACGGCCTGTCCTCCCAGTCCACACACAAACCATAATATTCCAAGTAAGCGGAGGAGGTCCCCTCCTCTCTTCTTCTTCTGAAAGCTTCCAGTGGTGCATCTCTTCCATTTTTAGGAGATCTGTTGTCTTCATTGGTCAGAGTGCTTGACTGGTTGAGGACTCAGCCAGGAGCGTATTCTCCACAGCTTCCTTTTCACAGAAAGACAAGCTCTTACTCCTGATGTTAGTCTCTTTGTACCACACACTCATATTTCACACAGCCAGTAGCACAACCGAGGACGAGAAACCGCTGAATTTATGTCAAAGTTATGGGATTCCAATTCCAAAAAGTAATATCTATATCTATTTTTTACGAGTGCTCTTTCCCCTATTTGTGTTATAAATGCTAACCAGAGACTGAAAGGCTTGCACTTTAGTGAAACAGAGCTGCACATGCTTTCATTTTCACCTGAGCTGTCCAGAATCCCTCAAAGAGGCAGTCCCAGATCAGAGAGGAATCAGATTGAAAGGTTTTCAATGTGAGCTCTGTTCTTCGCACGTTTGTCGTCCTTAGCAATCATTCAATGCGTTTCATCTTGTTTCATTCATTACACAATGCCTCCAACTTTGATTAACCTTTCCGCATTTGCTGGAAGGCGCTTTGGCAATGCAAAAACTAGAAATACAATCCAGATTTTTGACTGCGTAGATTAAGCACGGCTGTTAAATAAATATCACTGTTGTTGAGAAGACAAGATTCTGCTGAAGCTTTGTGTGGTTAAGAGACCAGCAAGAACCTATTGTCATGTTAAATTGCTCAGTGAATAGGTGTCAAAATTAAAAGTATGCTCAAACTATATTTTACAGAAATATTAAGATATGCTGCAAACATGTATATCCCCCACAGTAGAGTTCAGTGTAAAAAGAGCCGAGGCCATATTTAGTAATTATTTAATAATCAGTAAGTCTAAAACTTATTCCCAAGAATAATACATTTATTTTTTGTTCTAAAAATGTCAGAAAATATCTTAAAGAGAGTTTTCTTATGTCTAAGCTGAAGCTTCTTTTTGTCAAATTACCTGTTAAAAAAAAACCCTAAAAACATTTAATTTCCTATCATGTAAGGTAAAGAAAGAAAGCAAATCCACACGATTGAGAATCTAGAAATGGCAACAACATTTATTATTTATGCTTAATGATTCACGTTAAAGGTGATTATCAAAATATGACCGGGCAATTTATGTTTGAAAATTTGACTCAAAGTTTCTGAAGCAGCTCTGATTCACAGTAAAGCTAAATGACGTCCTGGTTACACTGATCAACAAATCCAAGTCTAGCACTGTAAGCCCCCCTCTTCTTCTTCTTCTCCTGCTATCCACGCAGCTCTCCTTGCACTTTACCAGTAACTCGTGTTTTGTGTGTAGTCTGTGCCAAGTGATAGTTTTGCAATACAACAATACAATTACTTAGTTTAAAAAAAAAAGTGTTAATCTATTGAGTCTTTGTAGGATGACGGGCATAACTCCTAAATTTTACTTCACCTTAATCTCCTTCTGCTATCTCACTGCTTGTGAAGCACTGTCCTGGTTTTAGATCACTGAAAAAAAATGCCCTGTCATACTTAAATATATATATTTATATAAAAAGAAAAAGAATTTGCAAGCCTGTGTTTCTATGCTACTGCCCTGCCAAACTGTAGTTTAAAAAGTGATTGTTTTCCCCGTGTACACTGGCTCCATGTAAGCTCAAGACTCTCCCATAGTTAGCTGTTGTACATTTTCCTGTGCGTTTGTGTTTGATCATAGTTTGACAGCTAGGTGGCACCGCAGGCAAAGTAGACATAACAGATGAGCACCTGAACTCCAATTATAATCAGTATTTTATTAAGAACACGAGCCATAGTGAACCGTGTTATCCATGCACCCTCTTTTTAACATTTATGTCTCCGACTTTTTCCACCATTCCTCATGTTCCGTTCCTGCATTTGTTGCTAGTCTGAAAATCCAACTCCTGTATGCACAATATCGATGGAGGATCAGCTTTTGCTTGCCTGCACTTTTTTTTTTTTAATATCAAATCATTTGGGACCTCATGACTACCATAGCCATTTGTCTTAACCGCTAATACTCAGTCCTGTCATAGGTGAGCTATGCATTGTGAATCTTGGACCTGTGCATATTTGTGTGAAGTAAGTTTTCAGACATACTTGTAGTCCTGTACAGTTGAATGTATGGGGTTGTTTTTTGTTTGTTTGTTTTGCATCATTCGCTGAGTCTTTAACAGGAGGCACTGCTACATCAATGTGGGTGAAGTTTAGAGTGATGAAAGGTTGAGTAGGAAGAGTCTTGATGTTGAAATGTGGAGACAGAGCCGCCGTCTCGTTGGAGTGATGCCGTAGCTTTAAGTCAGGAACAGAAACGTAGGGAGGAGACTTTTGTGGGACTCAGCGCTGTATCATTTGTCGGCTGAAATGATACCTTCTCTTTGATTTTGTTTTGAAATCATATCCTCTTTCTTAAGACTCCTATCGCGTGTCATATTATACTGTACACCCCCTTTTTACAGCCATATTTTCATTCCATCGATTGGGAAGTACACAGGGAGAATGAAAAATTACATTTTGAAGAAAAAGATAAATAAACACACATTGTAAATACCACATTGAAAAAAAGAGATCTACTTAAAGTGTACTGTACTTTCTAAACCCATATGATAATTTATCTACAATTTGTAGATATGTGTACTTTTGATTTAATAAAATAAGATGATAAAATGTACTTTCCTGAATTCTGTGTCTTTATTCCCCGTGCTCCTACAATGCAGCGAGTCTATGTTCAATGACAAATGGCTCTCCTTTTCTGGCCTCTGTGACCCGCTGGAATATTCTGCCATGTGTTTCTTTTATAGTCCGCTGTAACTCTATCCCTTTAGATACAAACCAAAAATGTACTGTTGATGTTCACAGCTAATGAGGCGTGTCTTGATTGATTAGCCGACGTGTCCAACTGATGATAAACCTGCCGTCACACCATGACGGCTTGTTATGGTTGCTGCTGCAACAGTACAAAAAATTGCACATTTACAGTGATGCTCAGAGTTAAAGAGACGTGTAATCTTTGTATTTCTCTGCTTTCTAAAAATCTAATTTTAAGGACCCCTGATGAAGGTAAGAATATTTTTATTTTGCAGATTTTATTACAAATGACAACACAACAAGCACAATGTATATATATTCACAGGAGGGTAAAAGTACTAGAAGTCAAGATTCCCACACTTAAGTGTTAAAAGTTCTTCCTCAGATTCTCTTTTAAGTCAAGAATTTCACATTTTGGCTAACTTTCTTCAGATCCTTATGTGGAAGGTGCTGTGAATAGAAACCAGAAAAGTTCAAATTTAATTGATTTCTTTGTATTCAGGATTAAAAATAAAAGTACAGAAAGCCACAATACATTACCTTACATTATGCATAACCTAACCATTGTGTTGTTGTGTATTGTATGTGTATTTAACTCCTCCCTGCCGACCTACCTGAGGAAGTCTGGTGCTCGAACAATCATGTGCTGGAAGTCCTCGAGTGACAGACGCCCGTCGTTGTCCAGGTCGGCTTCATCGATCACTTTCTCACACACCATCCTCACCTCGTCCTCCGTCAGCTCGTTACGGGTCAGTTTGTTCAGGGTTTTCTCCAGGTCGGCCCTGCAGATGAAGTCGTCGTTGTTGAAATCTGGGAAAAGAAGCAAAAGGAAAGGTGTAATCAATGCTGCAACTCCACCAGCTGATATCTACAGCACTTTCTCTAGCTTCAAATAATGACCCACCACAATGTGTCACAGGGGATATTTTGGCTTTGTTTTTGTACAATGGTCGGAGGTTAAGATGCGTCGTCCATCTTTCTATACGGTGGTTTATAACCAACTGTTTAATCTCGGTTACAGCTTGTTGGTTGTGGGCACTGAGGGGTGGACTTGACCTGTTAGTCCCCTTAACATGTCTTGTTTCTCCAAGCGAAGGATTAAAGCCCCCCTGAATACAAGGGGCCAGACATTGGGTTGTATACCGTCTCTATAGGTCTGAATAATGGATGAGAAGTTCCTTTGACCCATGACCACAGGGTGATGTGTATATAACTTCTTCATCTGTCAGCGTCTGTTAATTAGGGGCAACCCTAGTCCTGCGGCCAGGCACAGGACGAGCCTGAGCACGGCTTTGAAAAGCTCTTTACCTCCATAATGGGCTGGTTAATCATTAATACCGTTCCATGCACCATCCATCATGGTTACAGCTCCAAACCCCTCATCGTGCTCTCTTTGCATGTAATGCTTCCATATTGAAGTTTAAGTAGGTTTTCATGATTCATCTAATGCTGTTCAACTTACTGGGGGATTGTAATTAGTTTCCAAATAAATTGAGACATTTTGTAAAATGTAAATAAAGACATAATACGACGGTTTGCAAAACCTCTATGTTTAATCTTGACTCCTCCTGAACTGAAGTCCAGAGAAGGCCGCAGCATTTCTAGATCTGTAATGAATCCACTTTTCTGTTTGCATGGTAGAGTTTAAGGTTGTGTTGATAAAAGCAGAGCCTCTCTCCATCTTTACTAAATTCACTCAGCATCTCTGGGATGCTTCTTTTCATACCGTATTCGTGTTATTAACCTGTTGCACAAGGTGTTTTCTTTAGCAAATCAGAACTTTTAAAGTCTTTTGTTGACAGTCCCAAACTTTTTGACACATGCTGCTGGCATGTAATTCAAATTGGGTATATTATTTCCAATTGTAATAAAAAATAAAAAAAAATATTTTTCTTTCTTCTTTTTTTTTCTGTTTTGATGTTTTTCACATCACCACATTTTGTTTTTATTGACATATTACAAAGCTTCCCAATATAACATTGTTGTAGCAAAACTTTTATTTTAGGGAATTAATTATTCAGTTTCTCTAAAGTTGGGCCAATTTTGACGTCAGGGTGCCTGTTAACAATCTCTTGTTGCACAATAACATATAATAACATTTAACAGCGCCAAAACACAAACTTAAAACAGTTTTCTCAAAGATGCTTGATGGGCCTTTAGGATTTTATGAGATAAATATGATTGGAGTAAGATCAACACGATTCTTTGATAGGAAATTCTGCATTCTTTCTGTTTGACCCTAAAACAATTGAATGTCTAATGCTCTATATCCCTTATTGGAGTTCTTGCACAGCAGGTTTGTTGAGAATAAGTATCTACTTTTGTATTTGCATAGTAAATGTATAATGTAAAAAAAATGTTCCTTCTATGGTATAATAATCATACTTCAGGCTTCTTTGTTTTAACAAATTTGGTTTAAATGTAATAATGTCAGAAGAAAATCAAGTTTAAATGGAAAGATAAGAATTTGGTGGATTTTAAATATTATTTTTACCAACTCGAGGGTTGTTTTACCGTAGATCTTGAAAGCGTAGTAGGCCTTGAGGTCACGCGGGGCCATCTCGCTCAGGACTGAGAACATGTCCAGAAAGTCGTCCAGGGTCATGTTTCCCTCTCCGTCCTCTGAGAAAACCTCGGCGATCCTCTGACGAAATGGGTTGTCCTGCAAATTAGGGGACACCGGCAGGCCTTCAGTTATAACAGTCTAATTAAACTTGTGTAAATAATTCAGTGCGATCAGTCATACAGAACTATAAAGAGCTGCTCTTCACATTTGATGGCTCTCCTTTACTCTGTTACTGTGTTTTTGTTCAGTCATTTCTCATGTCTGATATTTCTAAGTTATAGCCTTGTTATAATTTGATAAAAACACATTTCCACAGGAACTCTCCCTTTCTCAGGTCACGTCAGTGAACGCCGCCGTGTTAGCACTCCTGTTTACCTTGCTGTCATTGTTTAAAGAGGCATATAATTGACCCATTTCCAACAAGTGTGCCCTGAGGGACTAGCCAGCATTCTTCAAGTTTAAAGGAGTCGGATAACGTATAACCTTTCAAAGAATTCTGTCGATTAGTTGGCCATTAATTATGGATTGGGAACACAGGGAGAGAGCGGGTCTGCAGGGTGTGTGGACCAGTGGGTCTACCTTCAGCTCGGGCATGGTGCCAATCAGCTCATATGGTAGCGTCACATCTGGTTGGTTGGTGTAGTCAAGGGGAACGAGCTGCGGTGCCAAATCCCTATAGCGGTAGAAAAGCCTAGGAAAGGTTTGAAAAATTAACTTTCATTATTGTATGAATGGAAAAGGATAGCATGCTTTAATTTTCATTAGAAATTGCACAAAATGAATGTTGCTGTGCTTCTCTAAAACAAAAGAGTAATATTCATCACATAACTGCTGGAATTCGTCGAAACATGTCTGTTGATAATAGTTGAAAAAAAAATAGCTAGTTAAAAGAATTTCTCAAAAGTGTTCTGGGAATCATTGCACCATACAAGCATGTTATTGCACTATGAATGTTACAACAACATAATGATATTGCACAGGAAGTGTTGTGCATCATGCTCATACTGACAAAAGTAAGACCTGTGGTGTTGTGTGTGTGTGTGTGTGTGTGTGTGTGTGTGTGTGTGTGTGTGTGTGGGGGGGGGGGGGGTGGTACTGTAGTGTAGGGGGCAGCGATGACTCTGGGGTAGAAACTATTTTAAAACCTTAAAGTGTGGTTCTTAGGGTTTCTGAAACACCTTCTACATGGCAGAGGATAATGTTGTTTTTATATTTTGTTGGTGTTTTATTGGAGAGAGGAAATTAGTAATTCGAATGCAGTGTTGGTGAACAATAAAAACCCAGTGGAGACGATCATTTCCTGGACAAATAAGTTCCTTTAGATCTCTCAATAGTTGCTTGTCTGACTGTCGTTACAGTGGTTTAGAGTTACATAGTAGTAATGTGATGTGGCAGGCATATTATCACATATTACTGTCAAGCCCTTTTCAGATTGCGATTTTTCATCAGCGCCGGAATTAAGCTCAGCCGTCAATACGTCTTTGTACATAATATTGGTATCGCAATGGTGTAAGTTTGGTGTCCCAGTCTGTGAATTCCCATTGCCTTACAGCGAAGAGGAAGCAGAAAGAAACACGGCAGATACACACGCACAGTCAGATGTGCACACCGAACAGCGCTGTGCTCCCTCGCTGGCTCTGCCGATCCCTTCTGACCCCTGTAACGCTCTGTTACTACCTCTGAAGAAAGTTCAGAGGGGGATCACTTCATACCCCAATTATTCCTCTACAACATTCATACTGAAGGTGAAGACATCACACTGACGTAAACTTTGCGCCTTGAAACCGCAGTCTGAAGAGTGTTTCAGTTATATTAAAGCTCCTTTGAAGAGCTTTTTGCTTCAAATAAAACAGACCAGAATTAATACTGAAGCCTCAACATGACCTAAGAAAGCAAACAAGACCATCAGTAACAAGACTGATTATTTTATTTATAGTTCTTTACTAGCCTGTAAACTCAACCACGGGGTATATGTGTCACACACAATGGTTATCAGCACGTTGCCTTTTCTGAAATGTGTCCAAATATTCAGTTTGAGGTGCATGTTTAACATTTTATAACCAAAAGGATCGATTGTTTCAGAAATGATCACTCACACATGAACAGGAAACGATTAGTAAAGGGATAAACACTTTGCCCACAGGGGGCGCCAAAGTCGACGCAACTCGAAAAGTTCCTCACAGTAGCTTTAACATTTAAAAATAAAAAATTATTGGCTCACCTGAGAATTTCTTTTCTTGTGAAATATGTACAATCCTGCAAAAAACAAAGATACATTTTGTTATACTATAATTTAGATATGAATGCATAAACATTTTTAAGAAGTACTTTGTGTTTTTTTTGTTAAATCTTAAAAATGGTAATAATATCTTATATATATATATATATCATATACAGTTAAACAGAACAAACATTTCTCTCTGAAATAAAGCAGAATAGATCTGATTGCAAACTCTAAAGCATATCTCTCAAAATGAATATTTAAAGTATTAAATTACTACAATGCTCAAAGAATTCAAGTCAACAAATATGATCAGTCAAGCTTTAACTTAGTTCAACACTGTCCTTTAAAGAAAGCCCCTCATGACCCCGGTCCCCTTATGTTCACTAAAATAAAGTAGTGACAGTCCCACAGGACGTGCTAATCTTGTTTACATTCGCTGGTACGCGGTGTAGATAAGAGCAGCACAGCATAGAGAGAATGAGGCTAAAGAAACCGGAGTGACACCTACCTGATAGGCGTCTAGCTGCTGAGCTGTAAAGATGGTCTGTTTATTCCCCATGTCTGAGCGTGCAGACGCCAAGCCTCACGTCCATCGCTGCTCCACCATCAGTGCTTTTTTTTTTTTTTATGGTGTGTGGATATGTCAGATATGAAATACTGGAACAAAAGGAAGCCAGAGCCAAAGAGGGGATCGGGTGTCAGGCTGCCATGGGCCCTTTGGTCCCCATTATAATGGCAGCATTTCATCGTTTTCTCCATTGTGAATAGCAGCCCCTCTGACAATGAATAAGGGCTGTCGTCCAGCATCATGCCAAGTGGTATCAACCCCCTTTAGTGCCACTGTATGGCCAACGCCTCGGTCACCGCTCAGGTTACACTCTGTAGAGACAGGGTTTTGTCATGGGCAAATAGACGTTTTGATGGGAGACAAGTTTTGTTTCAGCAGAGCACATAACTATTAGATATTTATCCAACGAGTAGATTTAACCTGTCAGTCTCAGATCAGGTATTATATATCTGACCTAAAACTGAAAAGTAGAAAATGTTTTTATTTGCATTTTAATCATACTTGCAAAGTCATTCAACTAAAGCAGGGAATTCAAAAAAAATACTTTGCATATAAAAAGTGTTTGTACAGGTCTTAAAGAGTCTCACTGGCTTACCTTCATATTTGGTTTGTATGTTTATGAAATGAGTATTAAACTGAATTTAATGAGATATTTAAATTAACTTTCATTAAACTTTGTTTGAAAGTTACTCTACACTTTGATCTGTATCACCTCTAATGAGGGCTCACAAATAGTCCTTGATTTTTACAGTGTCACGTTGTTATATGAGCTTTTATCAGGAATCTACAACCATTAGTCCAAAGTGATTTCTGCAGAATATCTTCTATGTTTATGCCATACTTTTGTTATGTGCAAATTCTACACACAAAAAACCCTGTAATTTTTCTTATTTAATTTTTCTAAAATAATTGGATGGCTTGTCATTGTGATGTTATGGTCTGACTGTCATTGTCTGACTAAGCCGACGACAGCCAGCCAGGCTATTTAACTACATAAAAGCAAAGCAATAAATTAAGAAGTTAAGTTTTGTTAAATAGAGTCATGAAGTTCAGGCATGTACAACATGTACAACTATTCTACATTATGGTGGATTTTTAACAATGTCTGTCTCTCTTTCTTTATCTAAAAGATATCTTTTATCTAAAAGAAAACTCAACCTTATTATATCACAATTGAAAAAAAGGAAGACAGATTCCACCTTTTGTAGAGATTTCAAGCAGTAGTTATGTCAACGTCAAGCTCCTGTGAGCAACTTTTGCGTTTCAGATGATGTTGGTGCCCCCCTGTGGACAAATTGGTAAATAGTATCTTTTAAGAAAAATAAGATCTTGCTTAATTTAGTTGTTTTTTTTGTTTTTTGTTTTTAAGTTATATTTGGGCCGTTTTACCTTTATTGGACAGGACAGCTGAAGAGAGACAGGAAAAACCATGGCTGCTGCATAGGGTGAGTGACACAATTTTTGCTATAAAAAAGAAAAAAACAGACGGTTTCTGCAGGTGCCATAAATCCTGTTGTATGACTCCTACCCCTGGCAGTTATAATAATAATTAGTGCTGATGTTCTCATTTCCTTTTGTAGCTCAGTTCAGTATGAATTGCCTCTTAAGAAACCAGCTCAAAACTACTCATATAAGCTTTAACGTTGGTATTTTCTTGAAAAAAAATCAACTGTCATTTGATGACACACTGACATGTCCACCTTGGTTTATTTTTCTCTGAAGGAGCAGCTACACATGTTCAGGTTTCCTGTCATCAGCTCCAGTGCTGATTACAGGTTAGATAGCCAGATGTTACACCTGCCTCAGATGTCTCTTTCATTAGCATGACTGCACACATTCTCATCCAGATTGCTGGGTTTGGAAGCAGAACCTAAAACATGGCATTTTTGAACACATCTTCAAAATACCTGCTAATATTATTTTATCTACACAGTTAAATATCAGCAGCGATATACTCACTGAAACCTACTTTACCATCAAGAGCACTGATCCAGTGAAATGAGCCAACAGGAGATGAACAGTTTAACGCTGTCTCCTCTACTTCCTATTCTGTTTGCTGGGCACACAGATTATTAGAAACACCCTCAGTCCAGAACCATTTTTAACTACAACCTTTAAAAGATTCTAATAAGCCGAGCAGAGGTTGTTTCATGGCTATGCGGTTGGATTGGAGAAATAAAGTAAATAAAGTATACAGATGTATTAGTTAACAAGTCTTCAATGTTTACAGTTTTGCATGATCAAACCAAGCTTTAGTATGTAGGTGTATAGAACAAAGTGTGTTCCTTTTTCCTAGTTATCTATTTATAAAGATATATAATCTACAAAATCTCATTAATCATCTAAAACACAGGTTTCAGTTCATATTTTTCAGCTTCTTTTCAGGCTTGTTATGCGTGTAAAGGAGGGTCTCTCTGAGAGCTATGACTGCGGTTCAAAGCCATTATCCTACTGTAGTTGTTTTATTCATCCAGTTAAAAACACAGCAGAACCTTAGCGCCATCTGGTGGTAATTCTGAGGTTCTGCAGACTGTGAACACTCCAGGATCAGATCAGTTTTAAACTCAAAAAGGATTCATTCATGGCCTGTAGGATATAAGAAAAAAAAATGTTGTGTGATTCTATTCTAGAGTTAAATGTTGCAATAATAATGATATGAAGTGTGATAAATAATCAAAAAGTGCATATTTGCTATAACTCACAATTTTTGCTGTTCTTCATGTTTTACATAATATGTGGTTTTTTTTCCACAATATCGCACACACCCTAAATCCAAAATATCTCTAGATTAGCACCAATTAATCTTAGATAAACTGATAGCTCGCATGCCTTGAGCTTTTAATAACTGCTAAATGGTGTGAAAGCCTGGACATTATATTTAAGTTTGATGATGGCTGTTTTTTACTTTAAAAAGTATTCAAGATTGCAAATTTTGGAAAGATGGAAAACCGAACGTTGACCTCAGAAAGATAAATGACCTGTAATTAAGAAAACTTACTTCAAATAAATTCACTCCGTAATCTCTTGTTTACACATTTTATTCTGACTATGTGATAGTTCACAAAAACATAAAATATACACATTCACATCTTTCACAGGATCTCACTTCCATCACTGCCATATATTATAATTTATGAATATTTACATATATTACATCGCTCCACACTGGACTCTGCACATTACTCACTATTCTTTGAGTTTTTTAAAGGGCAGCTGGTTTAAGAGATTGACTTTGTACTTTTGATGAATATCTGTGCAGTCCAGCTTCTTTGACAGTGTTCAGTGGCAGCCGCAGCTTCCAGCCACCATGTCGTTGTACTGTTTGAGCACCACGTTCTCGTCGTCGTCGAAGTAGAGGAGGTTAATGGAGAAGAGCTTGTCGGGCACGCAGCACGGCGTGTCGATGCCTTTCATCAGCTTCAGAGCGTTGATGATGGACTGGACCGTGGCGTGGTTGGTGGGCCTCATGTTCTGGCCCAGGGGGAAGGGGCAGGAGCCTTTGCAGTGGTAGGCGTTGTAACCCCGGGGGGACACAATCCAACCGGACCAACCGATCTCCTCGAAGTCAACGTAGAGAGGCAGACGCTGGCAGGAGGAAGACGCACCTTCCTCCTCGCTGTAGTCTAGGGAGCGGGCACTGCGGGAGGGTGGACCTGACAGGGGGGCCTGGGGCAGCGTGGAAGTGGGAGTGGTGTCGTTTGGGTCTGTTGGAGGAAAGGGGAGAGTTTTGTTAGACTCTTTTTGTACATAAAGTTTAAAGCAGGTCAACAAAATCAGGGTTACAGTAAGACATCTCAAGAAACAACTTCTTTATGTTTGTTATGCCTCTAAATACATTCTAGTTTTCTTCTATAATTGGAAAAAAATGGCAACTGCTTTTTTAGCTGTGGTGGACTGGATGACACCTTTTAAAAACATCAATTCAACTGATACAACTGATGAAAGGACTGATTTGTCAGCCAGTGAGCACTACAGATGAGATTTTCCCGTAACAACTTATATTAAATAATATGAAATGTATACATTTGAAAGTTATTTATGGCTTTACAGTCATTCTTTTCCTTGTAAATATAGTAGTGTTGAAGAAGAAGAGGGGGGCGGTAAGGAGGCCAAGGTTTCTCTTAGGCCCCCTAACTCTCGTCTACACCTCTGCTCAAGCACTGACCATGTGTTTAGTTTAACTATTGCAGGACATCAAGTGTGAAAGAAGTCTTACCGAGACTTTCAAGAGTAGCGGAGCGGCGCCCGTCGTCGGTGAAGAGGACCAGCATGGGCTGTTTGCTCTGGTGGTGGTTGCGTCCTGAAGCAAAGCGAATCAGTTTCATGTCCATCTGGCTCCCTCCCAGAGTCCTGACCACCACATGGAGCCCAAGGTTACTGCCTTCATCCATTGTCCAGGACCGGACCTTCAAGAAGAAGAAGATCAGAAGATTAAAACTCAGAGTGTATACAGATTTCTGTTCAGAAATAATAAACTTCACGAGTTAAAGGAGGCTTCACAGAAAAGTGGATACTCACTGCTTGTGTGATGGTGAAAACTTCCCAACCAGTAGAGTGGACTGGGATCAGTCGAGAAGACAACAACTTCTTCTCCTGTGTGCTGTTGCTTCTGCTGGGGTCAAGCAGCTGGTAGACACTAATCTGAACAAAAAACAGAAGAGATGGAGGGATTACAGTCATGTCCAAGACAAGGCGGAGATGCACTTGGGTGTATTTCATTATTTTCCGGTTACTTTAAGTTTCTTTAATAGTACAAACCTGGCAGAAGTGATGTCTTTGAAATGTCAGTGTTGCCTGAGGTCGCAGCTTGAAGAGATGGAGCTCTGCTGTGAGGATCTTCTCACTTCTGGCAACCATGGACAAATTGAACCTGTACTCCACCTGCTCACTGCGCACTGCAATGGAAACCACATCATTAGGAAAAACTCAACAAACATTGCTTAAAAAAAACGTATGCAAGCTCAAAATCATCAGCTCTTACATTTGTCAAAGAAGCTGCGCACAGTATTCCCCTCCAGGAGGTTCGGGTCCTTGGTCACACCGTCCACATCAGCCACCGTGTTGTACAGATCGAGCATGTACTGAGGCGGCTGCTTGTGTCCGTGGATAGCCGGGGGGTCCTCCATCCCAAAAACCTCCAAAAGCCTCTTGATGGCTGCTGATCGGACTTCCTCCGGCTCGTTTTCGGCGGTGAAATGATTCTCCAGGTAATTGACTGAAGGCCGTGCAGCGGTGTTGAACACCAGAGTAGCAAGGCTGATCACAAACATCAACATCTCTGAGGCTTGGGTAGATTCCCGGTGCGTCCGTGTCTTAAGATCCACAACCAGTCTGCAACTTTGAGTTGGAGTGACTGAGGGCTCCTGGAGTCTCCACTTTTATATCAAATGCTCCCGTTCACTCCGCAGTGCCCCTGAAGTCTTGGTAAACAGCAGTAAAGATGCTATTTGGTCGCAAATGTAAATCACCAATCAGCGAATGTAAAGGAAGACTAATGGCGGTGCTAACAAGGTGTGAACCCGATTGTAGATTTCATTCAAGCCCATTGTCCCCACGTCTGGCAATAAAGGTTCAAATAAACTAATTTCAGCCTTTGAAAAAGCGTGTTGCTCATCCACGAGAGACTCTACGTGGTTGTGGGATGTACTTCTATCAGAATTCTCGTTTTTATATCGAGCAATATGGACGGAGAGCACTTGGAGCTGATCTCTTGAGGAAGTGTACTCTCCATGGGAGGTCATCTGCGCTTAAATGAATCCATTAAATTAGAATAATGGGCACATTGTTTTAGGTGGAAACCAATTACTTCGATAAAGAGAAGGGTGTCGCTGGCTTCACGTCGCGAGATTTGCATTCTGCTAATCCAGTTCCAGCTGGATAATCACTCAACTTGCAGGTTTTTTTTGGTGTTGTTTTTTTAATTTTTTTTTTTTACAAGAATTCAAAGTTGAAAATAGATTATCATAATTTAAAGCCAGCTGATCTTTCCTTTCTCTTTGCATATACACCTTTCTTCAATTTATGTTTGATACAAGTCGTTCTCAATACAAATCGTAGTTTATAAACCGCAGAATAAGATTCATCATCGTTTTGAGCGAGTAGCTTTTCTTTAACCACTTTCCATAAGAAGTCTCTATTTCTAAATGAATGACTCCACAAAGTCAAACATAAGTTTGTGTTTCAATTAGTTATCAATTTACTTCTCAAGGCAAACTCTATTTCTTATATGAAGCTCAGAAGGGGTCTTCTTGGTTACTTTGATCTTTACGCACGATTACGCACGAGAAAAAAGACAGATGGACTCTGAAAAAAAACCGTTGTTTTCCCTCCACTGAAATAAACATTTATGAGATCAAAGCTTCTTCTAAATGACACCTTGAAAGCAAGTCATAAAGCAGCTCTCTTAAGATGAAAGAAGAAAAACAAGTGCTTTTCACACGTGGGTCTAAAAAAAAGGGCTTATTACCGACCTGCACGTGTGTTTTCTTAAACAGGCTTCTTTCAAGTCATTCTTCAAAGACTGATATCTGCTCTTTGATACTGGTTTACATTTATTTCACATTTCATTCATTTAGCATGCCTTAAAGTTGAAAAGATATTTACTCCGTCCTGCTTATACCTGAAAATGTTTCTGATTGAAAGTTTGATCTTAAATATATAAAGGCTACACACTAATACATCTATTCAATCTATATTTCTATCCATATCTATTTAATTTAAGGAGGGGTATCCAAATGATTTACTCAGGTAGAGCATCTAGACAGTCATGTAAAATCTGTTTTTATTTAGTAACATCAGGTAAACCTCTCCAAAGTTCTTTTAGGTTTGATTTGTATTTAAAAGAGAAAAAGTATTGCACAATTTGTCCCAGCTTGTTGTATTAAATTTATTTACAAAATTATCATTTTTACATATATTACATATAATACAATAATACTTTAGGGTGGGGAGTTCAAAAAAAGTTCAGTATTTGATCAGCGATAGACTCCAGCCTCTGACGGTTAGAACGGGGGAATTCTTCTCCCCCCCCCCCCCCGATGGGAAGGAAGTGTTCAGTTTTGGCACAGACAGGAGGTGATGGAGTGAACCGTGCGGATCTGTCCGTGCTGGTTGAGGAAGCTGTGGCTCTCGTAGCCCAGAGGAACACAGGAACTGGACTCTCCGTCCGCCCACAAGTGGCAGATTTCTGGATCAGATGGACTCCTGTGGCAGAACAAAGAAAGCACATTTAAATCTCTGTTTAAAAGATGTATACAAACCTAAAATATTTACATGTGTGTCTGACGCATGCATATGTGACGACATTTTTAGATGAATGGATCTAAATGAAGCCTGCTGTTGACGAGCCCAGTAAAACTGAATGAACTTCATTTGAGGCTAGTTTTGTGTTCCTTTATGCCTTTCCATTGACATTAACGGTTTACTGTAAAGTTGCACTAAAGGTGAGTTCCTATGTGAACTTTTTTTGATGATATCGTCCTTCTGATTAAGCGCCGTATAACCAAGCAGCTAAGTTGCATGCACCATGTACAGAGGCCATAGTCCTCACTGCAGCGGCTGCAGGTTCAAATCCAACCTCGGCCCTTACTGTCTCTCTTCAGCCGTCCTATCTAATAAAGGCAAAACAGCCCCAAAATATCTTTAATAAGGAATCTGCTGATAAATAATTCAACCACGCAAAACCAGAATAGATCTGTATTATCACATGTAACTTAAATTAAATCCTTGTTATAAAACATGCATTCACTTCTTTAGGAGTGAAAACAAACCCTTGCTGTAAAATGATCCTACTGTTATAATGTTTTAAATGTTATAAGCTTTTAATGTTTTATTATAAATGTATAAAATGATTTATCATTTTGGGACGTGAGGGCCTATAGAAATGAAAAATACGGACGGTGTCAGGATGAATTTAAAGAACATTTGTCAGAAATAGTAACATGACATTTTTATTTGAAAGATCTTTGCTGCTTTACAAACATGGAGTCTTTGGTTTACATATTTTTGTGTTAAAAGCATTTAGGTTCAAATAAGAGCTGCAAGACGGGAAATGAAAAAAGGAAACTGGATGAATGAAAACGGGTTAATTAAATTCAAAGATACACTTTTGTATTTGTTTGTGCAGCAGGCAAACAAACTTAAATTACATAATAAATAAGAGCTGAATAATTCTTCTTTAGACTGTGATAAAGGTCCAATCTTTCACTATTAGAGGGTCTACTCTTTTCCTAAAATAAAGCAGATTGTATAAGAGGCACATTTGCTGTCGGAATTAAACTAAAAGGCCAACATGCTGAGGGCAGAAAGTGTCAGAGTTCACGGGTAATTGTCACGAGTGTGGCCGGGGAGGTGTTTGTGTTGGGCTCTCTGTGGAGCAGCTGTGTTCATACCTACCTGAGAAGACATCGTTTTCCTGTAGTGCAGCCTCCCAAACATCTGCCCACATCTATTTCCTGTGGAAAATTAGCAACACAGAGAGACGGCCGTCAGCTCGCAGCTGGTCACAAATATTGACACAGTTGAGTCGGGGGTTAAAATGCTGTTTAACATGTTAACTGCTTTCATTCGACACCTGCGGGGCCATTTGTGTTTGCACTGCCCTCGCACTTCAGGTGCTGGAGGAGACAAACGGTGTGCAGGAATTTAACCTAAAACTCATTGTGGAAACTAAATCTTAAATTCTGAAGCTTAAAACGTAATGTAGTGTTTTTAACTATTTGTGATATTGAGTTGTGGGATTGTTGCTTTAAATATACAGGGAACTTTCAGGGAGAATCATGAGACATTCCTCAATGTCTTCACGGTCAACAACACAATTTAAATACAGGTTTAATCCTGTTTCCAAGAGGTAAGCCTAGCTCGGACTATAAAATCTCCGCCCGGTCCCTGGTGTGTAATTTTTGCATGTTATGTCTGAATAAGCATGCAGCGCATCCTGCAGTCTGGCAGTGCAGACACAGACCAGTGGATTAGCTTGATTAAGTGCTGTCTTCCACACGTGTCTGATGCATAAAGATACTTCATTACTGTCTGGCACCCAGCTGCAGCCCCCGTTTCCTCTAAAGTTGATCACAATAGAAAGTGTGAAACCTGCAGCACAAATGAATCCCTCTACTCTGCTGGTGCTGAGTATGTTATGTTTATTACAGAGCAAATGAATCCTATTTTTTAAAAGGCTGAATTTAAAAATCTAAATTGATACGCCCACATGTTCGGTGTGGAGTTTAAGTGTCTCTACAAACTCACTTTAAGCCGTTCTTCTTTGACTCCATCTGCATGCTGTACTATTTCATAGTAATACTCCACGTATGGGACCCTGTAGCAGCTTTCCTTCAGGTCACATCCCGCCACGGTCTGGATGAGGTCCACTTTGTTTGGGGTCTCCACCAAGGCTGAGTCGAATTTAGTGGGGACGCAGGAGAATCCCTCTGTGAGTGATTGATAAAGACAACATGCTAGGTGATCTAAACTTGAGATTCAAAACAGAGGCAAACATAACAGTAAAACAAAAAGTATATAATTGTGATTGCTAAAAAAAAACAAGTGATGGATCTTTTAAAACTCTAAAAAGAATCCTTGTAACTTGATTTTGGGTTTAAGAGTTTGTGTTTATAAGTGATATATGACCTATATCTTTAATAAGTTACTAAACTCACAAAACACATCAAATGCTGTCTGAATTTAATTTGACTAAAACCTTGAATTTCTTGAAAAATAACTATTTGATGCTTGCACTGCAGGGCTGCTGTCAGTGAATTGTATTCTTACTTTAGTATATGCACTTCTATTGATTTATTCAGACAAAAAATTCCACTTTAGGACTACTTGAATCACTGCATCAACCCAGTGGGTTTCAAAAGATAGGCTGAAGATGATATGATAGATTTAAGATATGACAGGCATTAAAAAAAAATAGGCTAATTTTTCAATAATTCAGCTAATCCAAAATTGTGTGAAGACATTAAACAAACACTAGTTTCCTAAATTTTAATTTTTCCAGTCGGCCTTTAGTTTTCAGATAACATAAGATTAGATAGACTTTGTTTTTTGTTTCTTTTGTAAATCATTAAAAATGTCAACCTTCACTTAAAATGAGCTATTGAGGCATCTTTCCTGCACTTGTTCAGTTTAGCCCCTCTTCCTGTTTTGGTTTGTTGTTAACTAACTGTAAGTTTTTTTTTTTTTATGTGTTCGTTTCAGGTATAGACACACTCACCTGGTGAACCCTTGGACCTGGAGCATCCTCCCACGTCGATGACTGCCTCGTACGGTGAGTCGGAGTAATAGGTCTTGAGTGCGGGCAGGCGGAGGCACTGGTTCACTTTGACCTCGCAGTGACACTCCTGGATCACCTCCACCTCCCGGGGGCCCTCGAACAGAAGCACCCGGTCCACGCGCATCCCGGTCGGCTCACACACCTGGTTCATCCCGCAGGAGGGCAGCTGGTTCAGGGGCTCCGGGCTCTCTGGAGGTGAGGGTCTGCGTGTTTTCCCCTTTGTAAACGTAAGAGACGATATAGTTTGAGACATGTCGAAACATGTTTTCCAGTATGTAAATGCTTTATTTAAATCTACACCGACACGTCTTTTAAACCATGTAGCCATTGATTGGTTTATGCGTCATTTCCAATTAAAATGTGTTTATATTAAAATATATATTAATTGTAACACAGGTTTTTATTATCCTAATGAGGATATAATCAAGTGGGCAACATTATTATTGGACTCAGTTCAGTGTCATAACATTGACTGTCAAAGTCACAGCGCCCTCTTGTGGCCACGCGGTTGAACTTCACTCACTTTTTTGCTCCTGAGGAATTCCAGCATTGAGCCGTGTTTTGAGTACTCCTGCTGTCCTGGTTCATGGGAAGGCCTGACTGCTCCCCCACAGTGAGACCTGCACATCCCCACATCCACACTGACAGGACTCCCAGAGATGTCTGCAGTGAGAGAGACGCACACACACACAAAAATACAATTGATATAATGTCAGAGAGCAAGGTGATTATTACAGTGATTATTATTTAAAAAAAAAGAAGAATGAATCCATATTGAGTTTAAGTGTCTCAATCAGTTTGAAAAAACATATTGGCTCTTATAAACATATCATATAGTGATGCACTGACATGTGCTTGAACTTTTGCCCTAAGCATGTTGGGAAATGTAGTGCGTTACCTTGTCCAATGTAGACGAAGTGGCTCTGTCGTTTGCAGCACATTCTCTGTGTGAACAGGTTTCTGTGATCTATGTTTTTGCTCAACACTCCAGTCACTAGGAAACACAACACACATCACATTAGTTAACATTTTACTCAATAAAGCCTGTTCATACTTTGTCTTTATGAGGGCTATAAGAGCGTAATCATGTCCAACATTAGCGCTTTGGGTTGATTAGAAAAGAGGATTTTACTTAAAAGTTAAATCTGGGAAACAAAAGTGGAGAAGTGCATATTATCAGTATCTGTCATTTAATGCACAAATCAGCGGTACCACAGGCCAAAATGTTATTATATATTAATTAATATTTCAAACCATTGCTCACAATGATATTTATTCAGGAAGTGTATGAACATTTAAAAGTGTTCATTCTGAAGTTTGTTGGGGAAAAAAGTCAAGTAGGTTTACCAAAACTCTCTGTGCATTCAAATGAATAACCTTGAACACACCCAAGACAGTCTGCAGCATCACGGCCTCGTCTACCACTCGTGTTTACAAATCTTACCCAAGATACGATGTGTACAACGACTACACACATTACATCAACTCTAGGAAAGAATGAAACAAACGTAGTACTTACAGGTGAGGTGGAGGGCACACAGGAGGAGAAGGAGCTGTTGTAGTAAATCCATGTTTTGAGGCCGAATGTGCTCCTCAGCTGTGAAACTCGGAGTGTCCTTCTGCCCTCTAACGCCTCTGATATTTATACGGGCTCAAGCTTCAGCCCCAAAATGTGACCTGAAAACAAGCCCTTTAAAGTGGTGTGGAGCCTAAAAAAGTGAGAGCTAATCAAATTTCCATGCTGAATGCTTTGTGGGATGGAGTTCCTACAGGCACTTCAAAGGAAATCCTCTGCAGCTCCTCTGTTTCTGCTGCGAGTCTCCCCAGAGGCTCGAGTGTGTCGACCGGCCCGCGCTCAGCCTAATGAAGGGCTTAAGTAGCCTTGAGCCATTAAAGCGTCGCTCATTCAAAGGCATTAATCATCTTTTATCTCAGGGGGAAGGTGTTTAGCACCTCTGACTTAAAACAAAACCCGGCCCAAACACACAAACAGGATCAGCGTGGGGGCCTGAGCCTCCCCTTCACCAAACTCCAGCACCTTTGTGTTTATTCAACATGACACCAAATGGCCAGAGCTCCCAGAGCGGCCCCGCAAAAACTCAGCTCCTCTTCCTCCTATGAAGAGGAAAGAGGCACGATTAAGAACAATAAAACATCCCCTCTTTAATTAAAATGATGTCAAACAAATATCTTAGTTTTTAAACAATATTTGTGAGGTAAAATGTAAACGGAGAGTGCAGGAAGTGTTGCAAAAAGACTTCAGTTCTAGTCATGATCCGTCAAATTTTCATCTAGAAGAAGCAACCTAAACATCGTAAAAATACGATGTGATGTTTTAAAAAAGGATGAGTTTATTCTCATTAAAAAGAAGTGTATCTGTTTGCATCTTAATAAGGTGTTAGTCCTTCTTTGAAGTGCTGATCTGATCCCCTCATTTTCTCCGGGATCAACGGATCATCGTTGAGAGGGCCGTCAGCACTCAGACACCTTGATTAAGATGACGCCTACAGCAGTTTCTATTGCTGGTTCCTTTTATTATAGGAACAACAAATCCTATTGATAATCTATCATAACCCTGCTAATACCCAGATGACTTGTTATTCATTGATTTAATTATTTGAATCAGGAGGGCCAAACCTGAAGATTATTTAGGGTGTGTTAGGGTCTGTTTTGTAAAACGTTCACATGAATCACCGTTTAGTAAGAATGTCTTTATTTCATCAGGTGTCAGAGTTGGATCAAGGTTGAGCCTCACACTTTCACTTTTTCTTAAAATACTTTCTTTATGTTGCACACCTTCAAACGGATGATATCAGGATATAAATCTTTGAATTGTTTGTTTTAAATTGATGTCTCAGCTGTCATCAGTGCTGCCTGTTCTGTATTATAATACGTGACCTTTAGACCTCTTGGGCATCTTTAATGTTTTCCCCCGGTGTTCTCCTGTACATTTCAGTCGATTCATCAATCAGTCTTTATTTGACCAGACCAGATTTATAAGAACTGTGCGTTACACAATCACACACATCATTGTCGTGTTTTAAAAAATGTTTAAGTTTTGATCATTTTAAGACATTTTCTTTGCTTAAATTCATCCGTACATGTTTAAATCGTCAGACTCCTCAGGTGCTCTGTGACCTCGGGGTTCAGCTTAAGATTGTCAGGATCTGTGACACGTGAAGCATCTAATGGAGACTGTAAGGGGTCGCTCGGATACAAAAGTTTTTTCTCTGTTCAGGGGATCAACAAGAGGAATGCTTTACCTTCAGAACTCAAACTGAATCTAGACTGGAGTCATTTTAAACTCAAACTGAAGCAGTTCATAAAAAGGACTCAGTCTTCATATTTGATCTTGCTCTTCAACTTTTACTTTGTTTTACTGTATAATAGTTTGCCTCCTGTACTGTACAGTCTTCTTATTGCTGTGCTCATTTGGTACCATGTTTTGTGTACCTGTTGTTGAGTTTCATGTATTTTAAAGGCCCATCTAGGGACTGGCATTGCAAATGAGCTTAGGCTATAAATGATGTAGCCAGTTGCAATGTTTTACTTGCTCCGTACTTGTCCCTTTACAAATACATAAAGAAGCAGGTCTATATTTAACTCCTTGGATTTTTTTTTTTGTACAGACCAAAAATGTATCCATCATGAGCAAACACACAGGAACATTTAGTAAGTAACAGCAGCAAAGAAGTTATTCTTTTGAACAGGCAGAAACATTGAACAGATATCTGCTGAGACTGTGTTGATCTTAAAGTGGGATGGATGGAGATGCAGAAAGACAAAGATGGATCAAGACAACACGAGAGAAATGATGCCTTTAGTGCTGATTATAATGGTAAAAGTACATGTTGTTTGTATGAACTGCAGATGTAATGATAAAAGTCTGATGATAATTTGAAGACAACAGGTCTAATGTGAGCTTGAACAACTTTATGATGATATTTAAAGGACTGATCTGGTATTTAAGTTAGACTGATATTCACAGTTGGAGCAGTGGGAGTCAGGAAGTTTCCCTCCACTTAGAAATGACGATGACATTTTTACAACCTGACAGGTAAAGTTGATCATTATTGTACCTTTCACAAACAGATGTCACAAACTTCTTCATAATAATGTATAAGGCAGTAACACCAAAGCAGAAAAAGACAAAAAAAGGACAAAAACAGGAGTTGTTGTTGAAAATCCTAAAAAAAATCAAATGTAGCGCCCCCCTCTTTTCCTACAATACCTGTTTGAATGAAGCTCATCTCCCCTCCCTAATCCAACACAATGAATTCAACATTGCATGTGCTGAGATGATTACTGATTGGTGATTGGATTATAGAAAGGTACTCTCTGCAAAACCACGCGGCTTATGAGCAAGGATGACTGCTCGACATCCCTGTGGTCCAGATGGTGTGGCAGAGGTTGTCAGCAGCGGCGGCGGCGGCTAACAGACATTTCATCAGCAGGTTTTGGTCTGATTGGTGTCAGGGTCAGTGTCTGGGTCACTTGTGTAGTCTCGTCTGAAGGTCACAGACGCTCTCATGCCACTTGCTGTAGCTTCTGGTGCGTGATATGAGGGGTAAAAATAGTAATTTGAAGTCTTGATTTGATTGAAAATGAGAGCATGGTGAGTTGTTTTTTTTTACTGCACAGAAATCAGCAACACCAGTAGAAGCAAAAACAAACAAATAGATAGCAAAAATGTACTTGTTATGTTAAAAGTGAATATGTTATCAGACTATCTGAACCCCACTCTTACAGCACTTCCTCACTGCCCTGACCCCTCACAGTATGGCTCATAGGAGGTACTTATATATGTAGAGATAATCCCTTGAAGATGCTGTGTGAGCACTTACAGATGGTATATATGTTCATGCGTGTGTGTGGGGGGGTTAGCCTGGCTATTGTCTGTCTCTGTGGGAGGAGGAGTCCAGCACTGTGGGATTACAGGGTGTCATGCTGTAGCTCTAGATTATACAGCTGGCAGCACTGGGAGAGAAAGAGCAGTGGGACTATAAGAGCATGTGGATGTCCTAAGAGCTCTGCTTCTGGTGCATGCAGAGGATTTTCATTGACTCTGATTTTACACGATGCGCTCTGGATTATTTCCAATCTTCTTTTTTTTCCCACCCAGTTTGTGCTTTGTGGGAATTTCCATGCGTGGTAATTTGACCACTTTGTCCTGTTTTTAAAGTCTTCAAGAAGTCAGATTTGAAAGGGGCAGCAGAGGACCTCCTGTGGGCAGAAATCATGTATTTGAACAACAGGAATAATAACATCAACACAGAGAGAAGCAAAAAGAATATGAGAGGCAAAACGTGTGAGTACAGACACACCACTTGGAAGTTTAATTATGAAGCTACAATGCAGCATTTTCCATTTTCTAGAATTTAACCAAAAGTTGTTTCTTCTGCTCAGGGGCTCACTTGAAGACGACCCCGCGTCCGGAGGAGAAGTTCACCATGACGTCCCAAAAAGCGTTGAGAAAGGTGGAGGCGGACGAGAACACGACGGAGGAGAAGGAGGCGATGCAGCGCACTGCGTTTGGGAAAGCATTTTATGACCTGAGCCACTCGGAGAGGGTGATGAATGATCTGACGTTTGGACGGCGGGTGGGGCTTTACGAGCTGAGGGGAGAGATCGGCTCTGGAAACTTCTCCCAGGTTAGATTGGGGATACATGACCTGACCAAAGGTGAGATGCCTGGAGCTTTGTTTGATTGTTATTTTAGCAGCTTCAGCGTCCAGGTTAGACATGTAGCTGGAGAGTTAACCTTGTTTTTGTCCAGTTACAGAGAAGATGTTCAAGCATTTCACATTTGATTTATTTAGTAATGATTCCACAATTTGTAAAAATGAAATAAAGTGACATGACTTTTTAAAATGTGTTCATAAGGGTGGCTTGTTAAAGACCTCTATCTGGTTATGATTCAACAACGTGCATGTTTCCAGAGTTATTACTGTATTGATAAGTGATGATAAGATGGGCATAAAGACCACGCCTTTCCTCTCTGACAAAAAACAACTTTAGCACCACTGCAGAGAGACGGTCGATAAGTGGGTCATGTATCGTACACTGAAACTACAACAGTTTCAGAACAGTTCATCTTTATCATAAGACTTTTTATGCAGTTTATATTCAACATTGTTAGACATTTGTGTTTGTATCAAATATCATGTTTCTAAGTTGTGTTGCTATAAAACTGTCATCATTTTTAAGCAGCACTATAATTTGCTACAAAGGTCATCACAGTCCACAAGACCTGTGGATGCTGGATTACTGTTTATCTTCTTACTATATTTGTATTTCAATATCAATGATGTTTTCCTAAAATCAATCAATCAATATTTATTTGTATATTTCATTCCAATTCATAATAAGTGTTATCTCACACTTTACAGAAAGCAGGTAAAATACCTTACTCTTTGTTATATTTTTAATTAATCCATCATGAGCACTAAGTAACATTTAGCAACAATTAGCAAAAGTTACAGTGGCTAAAAAAAACTTCCTTGTAAGAGGCTGAAATCTTGGGCAAAACCAGACTCATGATGAGCAGCCATCTGCAGAAACAGAGCCGGGCTTGAAAAATGGGATAGGGGGCGATGGGATAAGATGCAAGAAGAAGGATGGGGACAAACATAATGGTGTCTTGAGCATTTGCAGAAGTACAGTAAATATGAATCGCATGTACAGTGTAAATCCCTCTTCTTATCAACACATCCAAGATGGCAGACGAAGCCACAGAGTCTGACACTATAATGACAGTTTGCATCAAGACTAAGTGTAACTGGAGGCCACCACCATCGGACTGTGTCGTCCCCTAAACCATCGGCGTCCTCTTTAATGCACGGCCTGCTGCGACCCCACCTCAGAGGCAAGGAAGTGTGGACAACAAAAAATTCTTCCTGCATATTATCCCATATACAATTAAGGAATCATTGATTCTAAGTTTAAATGAATAAATTGAAAAGAACATGTTGGTGAGCAGAAGGAGTATGAAGCAGCTTCATTTTGTGCATAGAGATCACACCGGTTTCTTACTGGTCGCAGATTACAAACGTAAATAACCTCGCCCACTCAGCGATTTACCTGCTGTGTTCACACATCGGCCTACCCGGACTTCTTCAGGGTATTTTATGAGGAAGGCTGGATAAAGACAGGGTTTAAAAAAAAAAAACTGCAGTCCACCTCAAAAGAATTCAGGAAATTTTCAGGAGTTCAGTGCGAAATGTGTGAAAGGGGCTCAAGACTTAAAAACCTTTTTCTTTTAGAGAGAAAATCACTTGTTATGGGATACAGATAAAAGTTTGAAACTCATTAGAAAATTACACAGTCATTCTTATTACTTAAATAGCCAATTTAGGTCATCTTACATGACCATATTTCACAGTTTAGTCCATTTTTGGGTCTTTGCAGAGGTAAACATTTTTAATAATCTCACTAAACAAGCCATGAGCTAATCTATAAAGCCTTCAGCAACAAGTACTGATGCCTTAAAATGTGCTGGAGCACCAATTACTTATAACATACCATGAATAATCTCAAAGAAAAGCCAGAGTTGTTACTGAATCTAAACGTTATAGAAGTTTATTCCTCACGTGCGTTTCTCATGTCTTCATCTGATAGAAAGAGTGGCAGTCAAAATCCTGGATAAGAATCATGTGGACGAGCAGACTCAAGCGCTTTTCGAGTCAGAGATCTGTTGCATGGTGAAGCTGGCTCACCCCAACATAGTGCGCCTGTACGAGGTGATGGAGACGTTCAAGCGCCTCTACCTGGTGATGGAGTACGCCAGTGGAGGAGAGCTGTTCTCCCGTATCAGCACCAGGGGGCGCCTGTCGGACCTGGAGAGCAAGCTTGTGTTCTCTCAGGTCCTGTCGGCAGTGAAACACATGGTGAGTCAACAGCAGGCGTAGGTGAATTACTAATCTTTTTTTAAAGATAAGAAAATAAACATCCATGACAGATCGTTTAAACGACTGAACTAAAGAACATCACGCTGATTTGAAATACTTTGACTGAAGATACGTTCCATTTAAGATATGTTGAGTCATGAATCCAGGCAATGATAAGCAGAGGATTACAGCTTTTATTGTGACTTAATATAAGACTCTACAACCATAAACCACGTACGCAGGAGATATAATTAACTCTTTAACGCCCCACATGATACCACAATAATCTCAACCTATATTCTCTTTCCCCAGCATGATAACAACATTGTACACAGAGACCTGAAGGCGGAGAATGTCTTCTACACCAGCACCTACTGCATTAAAGTGGGGGACTTTGGTTTCAGCACGTTCAGCCGGCCCAATGGCGTCCTTCACACGTTCTGCGGCTCCCCGCCCTACGCAGCCCCGGAGCTCTTTACAGAAGAAGGTTACGTCGGTCAGAATGCAGATATCTGGGCGCTGGGTGTCTTGCTTTACTTCATGGTGACTGCATCAATGCCGTTCAAGGCTGCAAACTCAAATATGCTGAGGTGTTGCATCCTGCAGGGCGCGTATGTCATTCCCCCGTTTGTTCCCAGAACATGTCAGGAGGTCATCAGGGGTCTGCTGAGGCCGGTTCCTGCGGAGCGCCTCACTCTGGCAGACATCATGGACAGTCAGTGGATGACAGGCGTTGAATACCCCCGGCCCTACCAAGCTTGTGCCCCAACACCCTCCCACCTGGTCGAGCCTTCCCATAACCTCAGCTCAGATGAACTGCACGTGAAGGCGGCGCTGGAGGATCTTGGCATCACCAAGGCCCATCTCCTCAACAACAACCTAGACTTGAGAAGCCCTGTTACCGGGGCTTACAGGATTCTGCTTCACCGCGTCCAAAAGAGGAGGTCCGTGGAAGCTGTGGGCTTCAGACGGACGGGCACCAAAGAGTCCGAGAACAGACTCAGGTGGAGAGCAGGTTCAGAGGGAATGCTCAACAAACACCAATCTGTAGTGTGTAGCACCATGTAGTTAAACTTTATTAAAGCAATATTTCTACATATTGGGAGCCCATTTGCCTTTTTATTTTAGAGTTTAATGAGAACGTAACACTCATTACTGTTAAAGCCACTAGAAATGGAACTGAAATAGAATTAATGTAAATATAATGTCAACGTTAAGAGTCTGATAGAGCAGAAACCTATTAGAAAACCATGTTCAAAAACATCTTATTCAGCCGTTTTACTTTGGACTGATTTTACTGTTAGGCCGTTTTTCAAGACTGTGAAGATCATGGTTTGAATTTGAAAGGTGCCACACTCTGACAACAACAATGGCAGGTAAGATCCAAAGGCAATTTAAGACCCTTTTTTAGATGTGCTGGAGCACTCCTTAATTTCATCTCAGCATCCCTGAAATTCTAACAGCAATAAATAATATTATTATCCAAAACCAGTTTAGTTCTCTTGTGTTTTACCAGCCTTTCTTTTACAGACAGTTAAAAACCATCATGGTTTCAAAAAGCTTTATTTAGAAGGTTTGAGGGTGCCGTGTAGCCTAGCGGTTATGTGGCATACATCATGTACAGAGGCTGTCGTTCTCCAGACGGGCAGGCCGGTTCGACTCTGACATGCGGCTCCTTTCCAGCATGTCTACTCTTAGCCACTGTGCTATCAAGAAACAAGACATAATAAAGCCGTAAAAAGTATTAAAATGAATATTCTCGACATAGTCATGGTGTTAAGGACTCCAGTTCAGTAGGTGGCTACATGTTGTTTTAAAGGTTGCACTCTGCTACATTAGTAAGGAAAATAGAAGTAGTAAAAACATACTTCAAGGAGCTGAAAATAAATACTAGTGGCCTCTGCCTAAGTTAAAAAGAGAGCAAATCAAATGTTCTCACAGAGACCGCTAGATCTGATGGGTTTTATTTGTTTGACTTAAAGTTTCTGGTTGAGGTTGGCATCAATCCTTCATCAGGAAGTCAGTGACTTTCTTTCACACTGATGGTGGCTTGATGCTGAAACGCATCAAAAGTTTCAGATTCTGATGACCTTGCCATGAAGATAAAGGTATTTAAGTGTTTAAATGAATGTGCCTGGAAGTTATTCTTCTATTACAGCATGTATCCCAAGAGAGCATCTCAACCTTACATTATTTCTGTGTACAGGAAGCGCTCCTTCAAGTTTGTTTTTTGAAGACATGTCATTCTAAAAGTGATATGTTATTTCAGGGAAGAACATTTCGTGCAAATGCAAGTCACTGGAAAGGAGCGTAGACCCAGAAAACAAGCTGTGGACTGTACTTGGCACTCATTGGCTGCTGAAATAAGATCCTCGTTTTTACAGGGTAGATGCATTTAAACTAACTCAGCATGAAAGAAATGTCATATGAGGGCTCAAGAGGAATTTCGAAATATCTAAATTATATGGAAGTGTTTTTTTACGATTGAAATGTCAGATTAGTGTGGGAAATAATCAGGGTATTTTTTAAGATACAATTTAGTGTTTTATTTTGCAAGATTGCCGTCTGCTTTACAAAGTACATCTCATCTGTGATGACATTTTAATGAGATTTAAACTTTTACTAGTTTTTCATCTTTCGTCAAACCTCCATTTATATTTTATGCTCTTTCATAACTCCTGGTGGTAACGTTTGTTCCTATTAAACATTTTTATTGATGAAACTTTTAAAAGGGACTCATTTTCAATACACAAAGTCTGCAGCTATTAGCAGTGCAGAGGACACATTTTAACTGCCAGAATGTTTTTATAGAATATTAAATAATTTCATATTTTATTTTCAACCATTTTATTTTTAAGCAAAGACGTGATCACTACTGTAAATGTTTGAATACATCACAAAGGGGGCGCCGGAGAGCCCAAGCAGTTTAGTTGTGCGTCCCATGTATGGAGATGTTAGTCCTCATCGCAGCGCTGTGGGTTCAAATCCCAACTCGGCACTAAATGGTGAATGGACTTGAGCTTGTAAAGCGCTTTTCTTTTCTTCTGACTACTCAAAGCACTTTTACAGCACAGGTCACACCTACACATTCACACACTGATGGCAGAGGCTGTTCTGTAAAGTGACCATCAGAAGTAACTAATCCCATTCATACACAGTCATATGCGACAGACGAAGCAGTGGAAGCAACTAGGGGTTAAGTGTCTTGCCCAAGGACACATCGCACATGTAGCTGTGGGAGCTGGGGATCAAACCCTTGACCTTCCAGTTAGAAGACAACCAACTCTATGAACTGAGCCACATCCCCCAACTCTCTCCTCCGTACATTTCCTGTCTCTCTGTCCAAAAGAAAAAAGTCATTATACTCGAAATAGACATTTTAATTTCAGTAAATTAGTCAACATATATATATATATATATATATATATATTTATATATATATATGTATATATAAAAAAAAAATCTGGTCTCTGAAACCTACATAATTCAACATTGAACTTTAGTGACCTTGAAGCATAACGGTAACCCTTGGCAATATTTCTGGCTCATCAGCATAAAATAGTGATTCTTTGTAGTCCTGCACGTACAGCTCACCGCTTAAAGGGAGATAAAGGTGTGGTTTTGACAGATTTAGGCTGAGAGAGAGCAGTGTAAAATATTATGGCTGTAAATAAAATGTAATTTTTCAGTAACAGCATCGTGTGAATGTCTTTCATGACTTTTTTTTTCATCCCTCTTCTTTGCCCTTTTGCCTTTCTCTCCTTAGAGTCATGTTAAATGCCAATATCTTTTTTTTTGTTGCACCAAACGTGCAGAGACCTCTGTTAACATGAATTTGGCAGAGAAACAGCAACAGGAAAACAACAAGCCCACACTGTTTTTTTTTAAATGATTTCATCGGATGGCAGTGGCACAGTGACACTGAACCTCGCTGTCTCTGCTTTCTGCTCTGAGTGTGCTAATTCACCCTGTTTCCTGTAATTCATCAAATCTGTTTCAGGGTAGAAAAAAAACAAAAATCGGATTATTGTTTCCCGCTCATACTTACCTTTCAGGGGTTTTATTTTCTCTTTGACAAAAGATGGCTTACATTTCTAATTTCGATGCCAACCCAGCCATGTCTTTCTGCCCCAGCATGCCAAAATCAAAGAGCGCTTCAAGTTTTTCAGTAATGTTCTGAAATAAGCATCAATGCCAAGATCCTTTTCAAACTGCAACCCAATTTTTTGTCCTCGAAAGATGCATTTATTATTCTCACTCCGAGCAGTTATCCATCAACGTGGTTTATGCCATTTCTGTCTTGTTAATCATTATGAATTAGCTAAGTTATCAATCACCTTAACCTCTGGGCCAAATTGGAAACAAATTCAAACAAAACGTTCAGCTGTGTGCATGCAGAACTCAGCTTCTTATGGTGATTGCCCTACTTTTAACTATTCAAAAGCAGGATTGTACTGTCTGAAATGTTGCCATTGATGCATATTTCAATCAACACACAAAGTAAAGACCAAGCCTCTGCAAGGCAACAGTTTCTGAGTCATTAATCTCCACAGACAGCCCAGTCAAACGCTGCATTACTCACTGGGAGATTTTATCAGCTGCGTGTCCCAGCAGTTCTTGTAAATGCCCATGAAGCACCTACATCAATGACAAAAATCAATCACGCACCAGTCCCATCAGATACTGCTGGCTGTAAATCTGCACGTTACATTCATAAATACTCTCACTGAAGCTTCACGTGTGTCACTTCTATTGCTGCAGATAATTGGCAGAGCCATGTCTGAAAAACTCAGGCCTACTTTGTTCAGTATTAGACCTTTTTATTGGCTTCACATGCAATGGGGATAAATTTGCAAAACTAGGAAATGGCCAAAAACTTTGTAAAGCTTTTGACGGAGAGCAGGCGTAAACATCAGAGTGTGATAAACAAGCATGATAAACCAGGGACCCCCTGGGGCACTGAAAGGGGGGTTGCAAGATGCCTTCCCACAACAAATAAGAATTTGAAATGATTTAAAAATGCACACAGAGACCCTTAAATAATATTTATTATTTTCAGGCTGCTGTGTTCTTTTGTGTTGGTCTAATGCCAGTGTTAGGACAGGCCTACTGTATTAGTGCTTGTGACTGTGCGCACCATAAAATGCTTAAACCCCTTACAGGGACAGTAGGGGGTCCCCGGTCTCTGGCACCCTTTTGGGAGGGGGGGGGGTCACGGGTTGAAAAGTTTGGCACCCCCTGTGTTAAACTGTTAATGTGTCTTTAACTTGTCCTTCTGTGTTTAAAACCAGTTCAACATTGTGTTGCTCTTTTTCTGTCTCGCCGCAAAACCAATCGCCCTTCGGGAACAAATTAAAAAAAAGTTGAAGTTGATTGTGTTGCTCTGTTTTGACTGCAGTGATCAGTGAGAGTAATTTCCCATGAGGAGTTACACTTCTACTTCTACTAAAACAGTATTGATGAGTCACATCAATTTTGAATTGAACCACAGCTGGTATACACTCTGCTTTTATGATGATAACATCATGTGATGAAACCTATTCTACTTTATATCATACTTTATAAAGCTTCAAATCGAATACAGGAGCTGGGGATCAAAACCCCAACCTTCCAGGTGAGAGACGACCAACTCTACCAACTGAACCACAGCCGCCCCAATTTATTTAGGAATCCTTGTGTTTCTCACCCTCAGGTTTAGTTTTAAGTGGTTCCTGTTTTATTTTGTACTTTGTTTCATGTTTTGCTTCCTTCCTTATTGCGCTTTACCTCCTCTGTGATTGTGTGCCCCACCCTGAATATTTGTCACCTTTTTCAATTAGTCTAACCTGTGTTTGATCACCTGGGTATATGGTCTATGTCAGATCATTATAGGTCAACCCTCCTGTGGTTCATGTTTGGAGATTTACTATTGTGTCTTCCAGTAGTTTTTCTTGTGTTGTGTTATTTGTGTTGGATCTTTGATTTGACTTTCTTTCTTTTTTCCACCAGTGAGTACAAGAATATAAGCTTGTTTAATGTTGTATTTTTGGATATATACATTTTGCTCCAGTATATTTGTATAATCCCTTATTTGGACACTTCAGGGAGCTAAGCTGAATACATAACATTTATTAACTTTGTTTTAACCAAACTGTTTCAGGAATATAATATTCCTCATATAATTCAGTCTCTACAAACATTTGTATAAAATATTCAGTAGGCCCTTTAAAAGAGTTTTAAATATTAAAATAAAAAGAGTTTAATTAAATCATTGAGGAAAATATTTTGGAAGTCCATTGATATAAATATTGTACAAAAAAGTGTTGCACTTGTAAACAACATTAATGAACACATTTATTAAATCTCTTTTTGAGAAACACACATTGTTAGAAAACCTTTTCTTAAAACATGTGAAGAGACAAACATTTAAAGTACAGAGAAGGAACAAAGACAGAGGTTTTTCCATTTCTATAATACAAAAATTCTGATATAATTTGACATTTGACAGCTTGTTATTACATCGGTTATTGACATTTGAACACATGAAGCAAACTCCATCTTAGTAATTATATTATTTACACTCATCACCATTAAACTAAGCAGCTTATTGAATATCTGAAACCTCGAAGGGCAAGAAAACAGTCCCAGGTACTCTCAGTGAAGCAGCCATGATATTGAATTTATATGTGCAGTCCAGCTGGCGTCAGCAGTCCAACCCTAAGTGAACTATTCATCTTTGACCGAGCCAGAGTGAAAGAAAAAGTAACTAGTAACTGCTACAAGAAGTCCTTGACCAGCTTTCCAGTAAGACGCCATAAAACTGTTGGATGCTTTATGATAAGATTTGTTAGAGGGAGGAGAGATGAACGGCGGCCATTGTGGTTACCCCTCCTTCTTAGTGTCTGTGCTGATGTGAACGGTTCTGTGAAGAGCAAAGACATTCATTTATACATCAGTTGACAAATATTATTATTATCTTTTTTAAATCTATCAGCGATTTTTCTTTAATTCAACTTCTCTATTTTTTCCCACGCCAAGCATTCATTTAGGGTAAATAAACTGAATTCAGTGGCAGATTTGTCATTTGTTTTATGAACACAAGAATCCCCGTGATTCGATAAGTCGGACAGTTTTCAGGGTTCACTCACCTTGTTGCCGTTCTTTCCCTTTCTGTCAACCCTCTCCATCAGATCTCCCACCCAGCTCTCTTTGGGGTCCGTGCAAAACTCCCGGCCCTTCCTCATAGTGAAACTGGAAGATGAATCATTCAAACAGAAGTTTAGTTTGAAAAGCAGGAGGGAGAAATCTGTTATTCAAATGAGGAACTCTAAAGTCGAGGAGGGTCTATTTTCAGGATGTTTTTTTAATTAGTTGTTTGTGTGTACTCACATCACAGCAATCAGGTTGCAGTCTCCATCCGGCACCTGCCATCTGTACTTCACGGCATGTCTCTGAACCCTGCCGCTCAGTGTTTTCACGTACCTCAAACAGCAGTCTTCATAGGTCCCTGAGGGATGAGAAACACAGGAAAGTTCAGTCCCTTTATGTGGTTTAGATGTTCGCTAATTTCTGGAATGTGAATTTAAGCGGCAACTGTTGATTTCATCATAAAGTCTTAAGTCGTTAACATATAAATTTGGACCTTAAAGTGAATATAATTTTTAAGTTTTTTTTGGGCCTTTTTGCTTTCTTTGGATAGGACAGCTGAAGAGAGATATGAAATGTTGGGAGCGGGTTGACATGCATCAATGAGGACATGCTGTGACGAGGACTAGTGCCTCTACACAATGGGCGCGCAACATAACCGCTACAGGCTATCTGCGCTTTAAATAATAAATCTAAAACGTCCCTAATGTTAGTTTAATTACTGCTTCACCTTGTCTGTTAGAATTCTGTTTAATTGTCTTTCATTATATTTGATATCTTTTACATTTAAAGCTCCTGTGAGGAACTTTCGGTTTGTGGTCAATTTGGCGCCCCCTGTGGGGAAAAAAGTTCCCTCTTATCTATTTTCTAATCTTGTCCTGTGCAGGTACATGAAGGAAGTATTTGTCTGATAAAAAATCTCACCCTGCTGTCTTTTTTTTTCTTTTTCAAATCAAATGTTCACTTTCTTGTCTAGAAAAAAAAAGAGAGGCTGTTTCATCTGCTTGCTGTTAATCACGTCACACCACACCTACCCTACAGCAGCGGCTTTAGACATCGATTAATTACAATATGAAACTAATCAACGTTGTTGCTGATGGTCTTGTGTGCTTAAGTAGGTCATAAAGATGCATTACTATGAATTTAAATCTTTTTCATAACCTGCTAAAACATCCTCACAGAAGCTTTAATCTTTACATGAAGCCTCCCAGTAAAAGATGATCACACCTTTGTAACTGTAACCTTGAATCTTGAATGTATTATACAACAATATTTGTACAAAGTCCACTAAATCTAGTTATCAATAAAGAGGTGATTGCATCAGAGAAGAGAAGTTGGACATCGTGAACAAAGATGTCCTCATCCGCCCACACTCATACTTGCAATAAACCAACTTTGACCCTCACTTTAGCTATTTTATCAATCTGTTATTGCAACACTTTTCCAGTCTTGTAAAATCATCTTACCTTGTGCCAATGTAAGACTGAGATAGAATCCCATCAGCAGGAAGAACAGCGTGTTGAACCGCATGGTGCAGAGTGTAGATCAGACCTGGAGGGAAAAGGACACCAAGAGATTCAATGCTTACCTGCAGCGAGTCTTATCACAGAGCCTCACCTACCTGCCCAAGACCTGTTTACAACTTTGGACCTTGCATATATAATTGGACCTAACTCTCCCTCTCTGTGCACGAACATGTTCTTTCTATCTGCACCTATACTGTATCTATAACACTATAACGGGTTGTAAATTTATGCCATTCTGTTTTTTCTTTTTTAAGTGAAGAAGTTGCTCCAAAAAAGCATCCCTTTTTTTATGACCAAAAATGTTAATCATAAGAAAAAGTTCAGGTGAGTAAAGAAAAGACAAGAAGACGAAAGTCGAGAAAAGAAAAGTGAAGAAAAACTCTGACAATAGGGTCACAAGTTGTTAAAAATGTAGCGAAGCATTATTTGAAAATGGTGTCAAATTCAAAATATTAACAGTTCCAACATAAGGATTAAAGATGACTCACCTGAAATGCTGCACATGTATTTCCCAGCTCTCTCTCTCTGTCTCGCTCTCTGTATCTCTGTCAGTCTCTGTGTGTGTGTGCAGGTGAGTTGAGACGCTCTTATAAAGCACTCAGGAGTACTTTGACAGGGATCATATTTCTGCACACCTTTGCACTCAGATTATCTTTCTTTTTCTCTTTTGGTGTCATTCCAACATCGATGTGGGACTTCTGAGCCGTCGAATTTGGCGATTGTTGTGAATCTACATATGAGTTTAACAATGTGTTTTCTGCCTATTATAGGAGTTTAAGAGTTTGAGATGTCAGTAATTTAAGTAGTATTAGTGCAGAAATGAACTCCTCCCCCCTTTTTTGAGCAGGACATCTCTATAATTATTAAGAAGCTGTTCACATTTTCATTTCTCTCAACATATTTTATAGTAGTAGTTTAAGTCGATCTTCATACAAACGCATTAGGAAACAGGAAATAGATCTCTTACAATAGGCTCTCACATTGCCTGAGGTTGTTGTGTTTGGAGTCTGACCCGTTAAACTCTTTAAGGTTTAAACAACCCCCTCACTTCACAGTGACAGCCTGACAGGTATTGAGAAACCCTAAGTCTGCAGTAATTGCTGTTGAAGGAAGGTTTTAGGTGCAATTAATCCTTCAATACAGGTTCTTAACTTTTGTACAAAAAGTTTTACTGAGTCAATTCTGGCACTTCAGATTATCAGTGAACAAAGAGGGGGGTAATAATAAAAACACATTCAGACAATCAAACTTTTGTGTCACGATGTTGGAGCTCCTCCGTTAGAAATCATGACATAGCACTGAGATATACATTAGCTTTAGCAACAGATCAGGTATTTGCATCTTCTTACTTTGATACCAGTATAACTATGGTGAGGTCAGCTTTATTCATGCATGTTATGTAAATGCAAACACAATATAACGTATCATTTGGAGAGCTTGTTAATTTATAAAACAAGGAAAATTGACTTTTCCATTAGTCAGTTCCACAGCCCAGTGAGAAAAAAAGTCTGCATCCAACCCTGTTGCTGTGGTACTCTACCAAAAAGGATGTCTTGTATGTATAAATGTAGGGCTAAATGTCAAATATGAAAAAGTGTTGAACATTTCAAATGGTTTGTAATTAATTTATTCAGAAAAACTTCAATTTTCTTCCATTTACGTTACACAGTTTGCCTTTTATAAACCAAAAAGACTTTCCAAAACATCTCCTTTGAATACATAAAACAGGCTGGAAACTGGCAGTGACTTCCTTTCTCTTAGTTGATAAAGCAAAGCATTACCATCATGCACACAATCCTGCCATTCCTCTATTTTCCCGTCCTTATTCTTATATCGCAGTTTATTCATTAAAGGTGCACTATGGAGTTTTGGTAAAGAAATGTGAAAGTTGGAGAAGTGTAAAGATTATATGGTATATGTTCATAATTCTATACACAAACTGGTCCCTGTATCACTGTTTGAAGATAAAATGCAATGTGAAAAGTTATGGTGGGGGGCCCGCAAAAGTGAAACCGTAACTCTCCTGGTATACTCTCCTACAATATTATATTTAATACTGTAAGTCCTCAAATGTGTGGAAAACCTTAACCCGGAGAGAATTCGTTGATGGGCAGTATAGGGGGAAGTTTCCTGTCACTCATTTAGTTTTAATTGTGTGTGGAAGTCCCCAGACGGCACACGGAGTGTTTTATTAGGCCATAAAAACGTTTATCTCAGAACTGAACTGAATAAATCTGAGAGGAATGTTTGCTCGCTACAGCTGACGAGAAGTGGAAATAACAAGGCAGTAATCACCATGTTATAAAGTAACTAACATGGAGTATGTTGATGGAAATTTAATGTCCTATTTGCACAAAGATAACTGGTCCATGTACTGAAGTTTGCAGTCAGTTTCATCGGTCCATTTATAAATCAAAACGCTGTAATAGGAAAACATCATTATTCTTATTAGCCTGTTGACCTTCTCTGTTATGCTCGTCAGTTATCTCAGACAACCCTGACTCTGATGTTGGAAACTCAAGTTGCACAGAATCAAATATGGATTATTCTTCCAGTAGTCATATAACAATCTGACAGTTGAGAGGTTTTGAATTGAAAACACATGTCTGCGTTGCATTATCGCGTATCCACCTTAAAAGGCTTTCACTTTTTGATTCCTGAAAATAAACCACAGTGTTCTTTCCACTGAGTCTTTTGTTAAAGCTTTTGTGACAGATATTAATGATCCCTGAGCGCCAGGTTGGACATCTGATAGCGCTGTTCACTGTTTATACTCTTAGCAGTACTCACATCCAAACAGCTAAAAGCCCAATGAGGCGTTTCTCTGACTTGTCCTTTTCATTTACGATGCCTTCAGGTTACTCGTTCTTAATCGCTCCAGTTTAAGGGTTAAGTTAAAAATATATTTTTCTTTAAACAGACTGTCTTTGTTTTTTTAGTTTTGTAGGTAAAAGGTTAAAGCAGAGGTGATTCTGGTGAGGCACTTTGCAGCCGTGACGGTGCTTTGTTTCAGCACCAGGCACTGTCCAGTGTCTGAAGGGCTGCTCGCACACTCTTCTGTATGCTAATGTTTGTGTGTAAAAGTCCCATTTCAAATATTCTTGCAGAACAGATTTGGCCGTCAGTTGCCAATGCTTGATTCAGAAACAAGTTTGTCATCACCGCAGGGGGAATTCCTTCACTGAGACAGCCCTAATCCTGAGACCCACCTTCCCGTCAGACAGGGAAAACTTTGAGTTTTAAGGGATTTTTCCATCACAACTCTTGAAAAGTTCAGGCCGTCCCAACATTTTTAAGAAAAGTGTGCATGTGTCAACTACAGAGCAATGAACTTGGGTTGGATGTGCGAAACGAAAGGTTGATCATAGTGCACCATTTTGAAGAGGGATGGGGAGAGGGGTCAATCGTGCTTCAGCAGTGGACCAGCAGTGTGGGTGCGCCCTTTAGTCTTCAATCCAAACCCTCGTAATTGTAGACACCCAGTTTGAGCAGCTTGGTTTCTGCTGTGGATCACTGTGTATTAAATGCCAAACTTAAGTCTTAACACATACATTACATCCCACATTAATAATATGCAAATCTACCGTTCCTTCCCAGTTGCCACCCAGGCATTTAAGGATTTCATGAAAGTTTACTGTGCTGTGATTTACACACAAATTGCCTCAGTCGTTTTGTGCAATTCTGGTCTTGCTCGCTGCTGACAGTTGGGTTCAACATGAAAGAGATCAGATTACTCATTGGAAGGAAAATCTGTGACTTCAAAAAGAAAAAAAACCCATAAAATTGGCTGTCATGATCTCTATTACTGGTTGTGACTCCAATAATAAAAATATCTTGATGGATTCATGGACGTCAGAAGATGATGGTCTACTGCCGATGGCACTTGGACTCTGGCCATGTGATGACAAACTGTGTTGTCTTCTTCATACCTTTCAGACAATGTGATATGTTGTTTTTTTGACTCTCATTGTGGCTGTCATTGTGCATGGATATAAAAGAAGACACCTCCATTAATCTGTCTGTGAGAAAGTTGACTTTGGCACACAGTTTATAAAAAGTTGCAGCGCAGAGAAAGACAGAGCGTCCCCACATCCTGCAGACTGAATAATGAAACTGATTTAAATTGGACATGTGTAGCAACCATTCATTTGTAAACTGCATGGGCCTGAAAAATGAAAAAATCATCGTACACTTATCATCTGACAGGGGTGACAGTCTTAAAACTTAACCATATAGATATTTTTTTAATTTAACCTTTATTTAACCGAAGACAGAGAAGTCATTGAGATAAAAAGAAAAAAAAATCAATTCTCAATAGTGTCCTGGCCAAGACAGGCAGCGCACAATTTATACAGTTTCATTTAAACAACAAGCAGCCTCAAACACAAATACAAGAAAATACACTATTAGACACTAAAAGACACAAATAACAAATTTAAATGGCAAATGTTTGTAAAGATCATCCACAAAAACTTAAGGAAGAAGATCTACAGCCGGATGTGTCCACCTCCAAGTCATTTAACTTCCTCTTAAAACCATCCAATAAGAGCAGCTCGTTTAAGTCTCAGCTGTTTTTCATAACGCGTTCCAAATAAATGGAGCAACAAACTTAGACGCCTTTTTCCACAGCTCAGTTCTGACTTTTAGAACAGAGAGTAAGAAAGGGTCTGAAGATTATGAGTCCCTGTACTCCTCTGACTGATGAAGGTCAGAGGGTGTGAAGGATGAAACCCTCAGATAGAAAAGATAACGCCAGTATTTAAGTCTGCATATAATAGATCTAATGGATCAATAGTCGCTAAAGATCTTGTTGGCTTTTGTAGGTCATGAATAGTTATTAGTATAAATGTCTGTTTCATTAAAACTCCTCATATGGAGCTTTAACTAACCATAGTTTAAACAGAAGACAAAGACCCTTTCCAAGGAACACTATTCGGATAAGACATATGACATAATCTGACATTTAGTAGAAACATGTTTTTGCCAACCGTGAAGCCACGTACAATTTAGAAAGCAGAGTGGTAAATGGTAAAGCAGTAAAGTGGGGGTTTTGGAGAAGTATTGATTTTTGCAACATATCTGACTTTGTACATCAGATTGAATCTCCTATCCCCCCCAGAAGAAGATAAAGATTTACTTTATTAATTCCAGAGGTGACATTAATTTTTTTAAACATGCTACACACAAGTTAGAAATACAGACATGCACAAATATGATCCTATGGACAAGCATGCACACAAAGAGCACATTGAGCAGTGGGGTGTCCGGTTCTTTACTCAATGGCACCTCAGCAGTGCCCAGAAAAAGAATTGCCAGTCTTAATTTCCACTCTTAGAACGTATTGGGGATCGAACCGGCAACCCTCCATTCGATGCCTTGACTATATATGCTTGACCATTAATAAGTAATTTGAAAAATAAATGGCACTGGGTAGCAATACATTTCATCTGCTGCACTGAAGTCATATAGAAATATACCTTGTGCACTCTTTTCTACCGAGCATGTGTGGATTAAACACTTTTGGAGCTTTTCTGCTGCACTGTTCCTTTGAATGAATTCATCCCTTGGCTATATTTACACTACTCAGAAACCACGTT